GGAGTCAGTACAATGTAAAAGCTCAGAGTAGAGCTTCACAACATCTTACTCAGGAAGGGCTAACTGCAGTTACGGAGCTCAGAAAAAAGAAGAAAGGAATGCCTAAGATGACTCCCAGCACTCTGGTTTGGAAACTAGGTCTGCAGTTCTCAAAGTGTGTTCCATGGATGTCTGGGGGTCTCAAAGACCCTTTCAGGGGGATCAAAAGGTCACAACTATTTTCACAAGAAAATTAAGACATTTGTGTTTTTCACTGTGTTAATGTTTGCTCTGATGACGAAAGTGCAATGGTATTTAAAACTGTTGGTGCCCTAGCACAGATCAAGGCAGCGGCACCAAACTACACTGGGAGTCATTGTACCACCACTTGCCATGTAAATCATGAAGCCAGTTTACTGAAGAATGTCCTTGATGAGGCAATAAAAGGAACAGTCTGATGGGCAATCCAGTATTAAAATTTGGAAGGATTTTTCTCCTATAGCTGTGTTTTGGCTAATAGGGATAATAAGCAAGTCTAATCAAACGGGGGGAAAAGTTTTATTCCTCTCCTATTACGTGAGAAATGCTGATTATCATTTAGCCACATTCATTTTTAACTTCAAATCAGCCCTATAACAATAAACAGGTAGTACCCTGACCAAAGGTAGAACAACGTGAGCAACAAGATGAAGATATAAATAAATCATTGAATGAGTTAATAAACGGCGGAGAAGAGACAAATCTCACACACAGAAGAATTCCAAATAAATTATGTAGATATTTCACCCTAAAGGAGGGGGAGCATAACATTCCACTCATTAGGAGTGGGCTGCACACAGTGACTTCCTTCCAAAGAGTAGGTATAGTATGGAAAGGGTAGGGGATGGGGGGCGACTTTACAATGGAGAAACCTGACAAACACTACCAGGTGATCAAGGTCAACGTCAGCAGCCATAAACCATGATGACCGCATGGACTTTTGATATGATGTGATGAAAATGACACTTTACCTCTGTGATCTTCTTCCTCCAAACCCATAACCATCTAACCATGAGAAAAACTTCGGATAAATTCCCCTAGAAAGGTATCCTACAAAATATTAATATTTGACCAGTACGCCTCAAAACTGTCAATATCATCAAAAACAAGGAGAGTCTGAGTGAGAAACTGTCACAGCCAAGAGGAACCTTAAGGAGACATGACTTCTAAATGTGGTATTGTATCCTGCCGCAGTAAAAAGACATTAGGGTAAAACCAAGGAAATCTGAATGATATATGGACTTTAATAATTATTATCAGCTTTGCATTATAATAATAATATAATGCATCGACATTGGTTCATATGGTAACAAATGCACCCCACTGTCAATAATGGGGGAACTGTGCTGTGGTGGGGAAGGTAGAGGACTACATAGAAGCTCTGTTCTACCTGCTCAATTTTTCTGTAAATCTAAAAGTTTTCTAAAAAACAGTTTATTAATTTAAAAAATCCTAACATTAATTGGGAATAATTTTCATCCATCACTCTAACCTTACAGAATTAAAGTTCTATAATGGGATATCCTATCCATAATTCAATGCAGTATTTACCAAGGTCCTATTATGTATGCATGCCTCTGAACTGGTGGGTACTGGCTATAAAAAAATGAACAAAACAAGGTCCAGGGCCTAGTTGGAGATAAAAGACATTTTATTTGGTAATTATTGTCCTGGGAGGTGAGCATGACTGAAAAGCACAGAGAAAGAGGTCTGGGAAGGCTTCACAGAGAAGGTATGGCACAGAAAAGGTGCAGAAACAAGAAATAACTGGGCTGGGCCTGATTTATTTTAAAAAAATCTGTCCTTCTAAGAATCTTTTTTTTTTCTTTTTCCTGAAAATGAGAGCACTGTAGAGGCCAATACTTTATTTACCATGGTGTTTTAACTTTGCATCTTCAATGGAGAAAGTATACTTTAGAAAATGCCAAAGTTTCTAAAATTATTACAAGTATGAAGGGATTTCAAAGTAAGTGAATTTTAAAACTGGGATGAGTAGAAGAAGAGGGAGCTAAAAATGAACATATACAAATATGAAACAAAGACAACATATTGAAAGATGATACCTAAAATAGGTACCCAGAAGGACAACTACAAGAACAAAACTCTGGGAAACAGCAATTTCATAATTCAGCTTCCTGTTTTATTCAGTATCCTTAAAACTACTTCTTAATCTCTATGGGTATAAATTAATAAGGGGGGTGGATAAGAGAGTGAAGATAGCACTTGGCATCTGCTCTATGACAGGTACACATGCAAGAGAGGGTCTCTATACACACTATAAAATTTAATCTTTGAAACAACCCTTGAAACGAGTGTCTTATCTTTTCTAGAGGAAATGCATGCTCAGAGGGATCCAATAACTTACAGCCAGAGCAAGATGGGAAGTTCCCTCCATCTGAAAGGTAAGCACATGTTCTTTTTAGTCCCAGTTGACCAGTGACCAGGTACCTGTAATACGGCAGAATTCACTCTGTCCGTTTCCACACAAAGCAGTCTTAGGATTGTTTTTAATTTCTCCTTTACTAGGATTGCACCCTGTTCATTTCATAGTCAACGGCATTCTCCAAAGAACACTTCTAATCACGGTGTCTCAGTTACAAGTAATCTACGAGTCGGCCCAGTGATGGGCATCAACACTGTAAGCTTGGTTTTCGGTTTGACTACCAAATTCATTCATGGAGGCCACCAGTTTTGCTTATGTTCAGGTCACCCGCGCTTGCTGGAAAGCCTCCCATTTCTTATTATCACGGTGTTAGCTCTCTAAGCTTTACACCGGAACAGCACGGCGTTTTGAGGTGACTACAAAAAAGAAGCAATTCACCCCTCCGAGAAAGCCGTCAAAGCATCATAAATAGTATGACGTTTCTTGGGACTGACAAGATTCTGGGTCTTTTCTGATTCCATGTCACCTTGAGCAAGACTCTTATTTCCTCATGCGTAAATTTGGGAGAAAATTACTTTGCTGGTGCCTCGAGACTGTGGAGGGAAAATCTTGAAAGAGGACTTTGCCCAAAGAGCACTCGTTATTTCTAGGCTCTGAGCCCCGCACGGGCGGCGCGACACAAAAGCGCAGGGCGGGGACCCCGGGACGGTCCCCCCGCCGCCTCCTGGTGCATCTCGGGAAGGGCTCCCGCCTGGGCCGCAACGCCGGGTCGGCGCAGGCGGCCCGGTTTCCCCAGCCTCTCCCAGCGGCTCACTCGAGTCAGGGCAGAGAGACAAACACGGCCTGCCCGCTTCCGGCCCGAGCTGCCGCGGGTTCAAGGAAGCCTTCGCAAGGCTCCTCCGCCCCGGGGGTCTTTGTTCCCGCCGACGTCCCCCAGCCCCACTGCTCCCGCCGCAAACCCAGTTTGCGGAGTATCAACGGCATGGAGATGTCCAACCTTGGTGCGCACTGGAGCGGGGCGTTAGTAGAGGCAGCGAGGGAACCCAAATTTTGGATACGGGGGAAGAGGAGGGAAACGCGTCGGACCGCCTCCTCCCATTACAGCTCGGAGGCGGTCGGCTCCCTCCCGCGCTGACGGCTCGCGCGGGCTCTGCAGGGCGCGCTGGCGGCGGCGGCGGCGGCGGGGCGGGATCCGAGCCTGCACGTGGTGGGACCGTTCTCCCCGCCCGGCGTGACCCCCGGAGAGCCACTGTTCTCTGGCGGAAGGGGCAGTGCCACCCTCGGCCCCGCTCCGGAGAGATGTTTACCCTTGGGGGCCCCAGAATTGGAGGTTGAGAGGAGAGAGGGAGCGCGCGGCTTGGCGCGAGCGTTTCCTGCGCTGGAACTGCTGAGTGGGAAGCCGCCAGGCAGTGGCAGGGCGGCGGGGTGCGGATGACCCACCCACGGGGAGGGTAACCGGCTCGGCGGAGAAGAGAGCGGGAAAACAGGGTTGATACGTACCTCGGTCGGCGGGCTGGAGCAAAGTGCACAACAGGCATCCCTGAGCATGGCTGCCCTGGGGTGCCACAGCCGGCTGCCGGTGGTCCCAGGGGACTAGGTGGCGCGCGGGAACACACATGGCCAGCCGCGCGCCCGGCTGTGTTTACGTTCTGCAGCCGCTCCACGTTGTGCTGCAGTCCTCGCCTCCCATTGGCCAGCTCGCCAGCCAACGCTGCGCTCCTCCCGCAGGGGCGGTGGTCCCCGAGTCTCTTCAGAAAACCCGGGTTCTTGGAGGCCTAGGCGGGACAGCCAGGGTGCGCCAAGGCATGGCCACTTCCTAGCCACGCTATGCTCGCCCGAGCCGCCTCCACCTGGCCGTACGCCGGGGCCGGGCCGCGGCCTGACACCCCCGGCGTCCGAGAGTTGAAAGAGGGAGGGGACAGAAACTACTGGCGGGAGATGAAGCCGAGCGGCGGGGAGCCGGGCTGCGGAGGAGGAGCCTCTGCGAAACTCCCTCCCGCCGCACAGGCAGGTGAAGTTCAGGTGACCGCGGACCGAGGGCTTAGGCGAGGCGGCTGTGCGGCCCCTCGAGGTGGGCGGGCGCGGACTCACGGCAGGGCGCGCCGAGCGGGCCTGCGGACTGGCGCGCGGGGGAGGGGAGCGCACTGTCCGGAGGTGTCAGTCTGAGGCGCATGCGTGCGGGGCGGGCCTGGCCCGGCCTATATATTGGGTTGGCGCCGGCGCCAGCTGAGAGCCGAGCGGTAGCGGGTCTGGCGGTGAGGAGGTGCTTGGGCGTAGGGCGGGATGCGGGAGGAGAGAAAGCCCCCCCCACCCCTCAGGGCCGATCCGTCCCGCGGGCGGGAGCCTAGGGGAGGAAAAGTGGGAGGGGTGAGAACTAGGCATCTGGGGGCGATGGGTCCCCGCGATCCGTCCCTGTCAGGACCCTTGGCAGGGGGCCTGGGAGGCGGCGGTGGATGGAGGGCTGCCCCTAAGTGGGAGGCCACGGAAAAGCCCCTCATTCTAGGGGCTTCACTCTGCCATCCCCATTTGGGGAGCTATCCCGCAGGAGAGAGGATGGGGGTCTGGGTCTCCTTCACGGGGAGAAAAGTTCCCCCACAAGCCCAGTTTTCCCCTTTATTAATTGAACTCCCTTTCCATCACTCCCATCCCCCATCTGTAGTCGGGGTCCCGGTGCCCCTCCAAGCGATGGGCAGGGTCCGGTGGGGCTGGGAAGGAGGGAAAGCAGACTGAAGGACGTGACACAAGTTCCCTCCGCCCCCTGCTTCCCCGCCACCGCCGCTCTCCAAATTGGCGCGGAACCGGCTTCTCCACAGTGTTTCGCCTCCACAACCCCCTCTCCCCGCGGCTCGAGCAGGATGGGAGGGGGGAAGTAGGGGCGCTGCCCAAGCCCCACTCGGGCTGTCCGGGGGAGAGACTGCAGGACGCAGAAGAGACCCATCTGCCTCCCTGCGCTTTCCGGGCGCTGAGGGTGGTTTGCAAATTTCTGAAGACGCTCTCATCCGGGCTGTTCATTTCGTTGAGGAAATGCAGGCATGTGTCCAAAAGCATGAGTCCGAAATCATGCACTAATATACTGCATAAGTCATCGTGGTAAGACGGCTCAGGTCATCTCCTGAGGGACTTAGTTATAACCTCTGAATGGCACTTGGAGAGTATGGATGACAATGTATTTGACTCTGGTTTTTCCTCTCGCCTCCAGGTTTCATACACCTGAAAGAAGAGAATGTCAAGACGCAGGTAACGTTATTTGTCTTGGAAATATGTTTCAGAGTTGGCTGCTGCCTTTGAAATGCGTCACTTACTAATTAAACTTCCTTTTTAAAAACTCTATAGTAGCCGTTTACAAGCTAAACAGCAGCCCCAGCCCAGTCAGACGGATTCCCCACAAGAAACCCAGATAATTCAGGCCAAGAAGAGAAAAACGGCCCAGGTGAGTTAAGGGGTGGGGGGAAAGAGAGAGGAGAAAGAGAAAATTCCTTGCAGGGACTTTAGTTTAACAATGGCCTTTTCTATTTTCCAGGATGTCAAAAAAAGAAAAGAGGAGGTCATCAAGAAACATCAGTATGAGATTAGGGTAATGCAGAACTGGGCTAGGTTTGGGGGAAACAAATGTAGGACAAAAAAGAATAGAATTGTGTTATTGCTTTGTGATAGGAAGGTTCCTCTGACACTTTTAATGCCCCTCGAGGTCAGCAGGAAGGCGCTTGTCTTTGGGTGGTTTTTATGTCCTTGAATCCTACTACAGCTACAGAGTAAGCCTTGACGCAGCTGGTTCCTCTTTGTAAATCCCTCCCTCTAGGAGCTGCCTGGTGCACCAGGGCCCGCCTAATCTGTCCAATGGACTGCTCTTTGTTCCCTCTCTGACTATAGTGGAGAGTCTTGATGGTTGCTCCTAGGGCATAAAATAGGATGTGAGGTCACTGACAGACTGGCACCCAGCCCTTTGCCACCTATTCTTCCTATGTGTTGTACAGAAGACACTTTGGAAACAGTGGTTCTCTTTGAAACCAGCAGTGACTGGAGAAAGTGTCCTTTAAGTATTTAAGTAATTGTTTCCACTTTTAAGGTCTTGTCTTCCTGTATTTGAAAGTAGTGGAAAAGGCCTTAACGAGTGTGGGGCGGGGGTAGCTGTCTATAAAACAAGGTGCCCTGGCCACTATTGCTAAATACAGGGGAAAATTTTATAATCTTGAAAGCGATTAATATTTGACTACACACGTGTTTTGTTGTTTCTCCTCTCCCTCAGTACCTAACGTCTTGTATTTCCAGAATTGTATTTTGTATAAAACATCCTACCTGTTACTCTTTATGAAGATTGAAATGAGCTATATGGTTTATTTATAAAATATGTATGTCAGCTTAAATTAGTCAGCAATGTTACCTAATGACGGTGTTTGGGGAAAAATGTAGACTGTTTAGAAGTATTAGCTTTCATTTATAAAAGATCCAAGACAAAAGCTGGTTTGTCTATTTCACAAAGATATTCTTTTTATTTTTTTTAAATGACAGAATTGTTGGCCACCTGTATTATCTGGGGGGATCAGTCCTTGCATAATCATTGAAACACCCCACAAAGAAATAGGAACAAGCGACTTCTCCAGATTTACAAATTACAGATTTAAAAATCTTTTCATTAATCCTTCACCTTTGCCTGATTTAAGGTAAGAAAAATTTCAGTAATTTAATGTCAAAGATTAAAATTTACTGATGTAATATATGGTGCTATTTTGAGGTATTTTTTGCTTTCATTATCAGAAAAACTTGTAGAAAAACTGTTTTTTTTACTAGTCTTTAAGCATATATTATTTTATCTGACAGTAACGCTATTTGCAAATGACACGGGTATTTAAAACATTGATTCTATAACATTATTTTCACTTGCTTGCTGAAGACTGTAAGCCTTATCAGAAGAACTCAATCACCTTATTTATTTATGATTTATTTATTTTTGGCTGCGTTGGGTCTTCATTGCTGCGCGCGGGCTTTCTCTAGTTGCGGTGAGCGGGGGCTACTCTTCATTGCTGTGCACAGGCTTCTCATTGTGGTGGCTTCTCTTTGTTGCGGAGCATGGGCTCTAGGGCACACAGGCTCAGTAGTTGTGGCTCACGGGCTCTAGAGCGCAGGCTCAGTAATTGTGGCGCACAGGCTTAGTTGCTCCGCAGCATGTGGGATCTTCCCAGACCAGGGATCGAACCCGTGTCCCCTGCATTGGCAGGTGGATTCTTAACCACTGTGCCACCAGGGAAACCCTGAATCACATTTTTAATGGAGTTTAAATAATTTATCTAAATTGCTAACATGGAAGTATTTTAACATGTACAGCATTTTCATTTGATAGATCAGCTATTTTTCTTTCTTACCAAGCCTACTTACTAAGGTCTATACTTTTTCTAGTTAATGAATGACTAAGAGGTACAACTTACATAAAATGTGTAGTGTAATAATTTATATTTGGCTTTAATAAGCAAATTAATGGACTCATACATTTAAACTCACCAGTCTTCCTCTTCTCCATACTGTCCCACCTTAACCCCACTGTAATGTAGTGATGATCTATTTGGAGGTGATTGAGACTGTCTCTGCTGGGATCATATGCTTTAAATATTTACTTTTTTAGTGTTGCTCTTGAGAAAACATCGTTATCTTAAACAGGTGCCTTTGTAAATTATAAATAGATGGGGACTAGAAAGCACTCTTGAAATCTGTCAATTTAGATTCTCATAATCCAAGTTCTTGCTGTATAATTTCATGCTAAAGAAATGGTTTCTAAAAGTAGCAATTTTTCCTGATTTACTTTAAGAGGTTGTCCTTTCAAATTCTAATTCAAAGTTGGATTTCAGTGTTTGAAAGTTGAGTTTACTGTATGTGAAACAGGTAGCTTGTATATTATGTAGGTCACACAATTATTTTGCCCCTTTCCATAGCTGGGGATGTTCACAGGATGTTTGGCTAAACATGTTAAAAAAAGAGACCAGATATGTTCATGACAAACATTTTGAAGTTCTGCATTCTGAATTGGAACCACAGATGAGGTCAATACTTCTAGACTGGCTTTTAGAGGTATGTTCCAGCAATACAAATTTCCTTTTTTGTCTGTATGATGGAAAAACATTTAGACATAAATATGCTTTCCATGTGCCTTCATGGTATATTACCTATTGCCAGGAGCCATTCGGGGGGGCTACTCACTGTAGCTGAGGATACCAAAATGGAAAATGACTGCTTGATAAGAGTAAAATCATGAGGACACAGCCACTAGGTCCCATACAACCCAAACCCAATTCAGAAATTGTGGTATCTGAGTATCGCTGTGTACTAGGCACTGTGCCTGGAGCCAAGGATACTCAAGATGAACAGAATTTGACAAGGTTTTGAATTTTGCTATGCAATGTAAAGAACCAGGACTAGGCTTCAGGACCCTCAGAAGTCCTTTTCTTCATCACCAAAATGAAATTATGATTTGGAATCCTAATTTCTATATCCTAAATGATAAGGAGGCTTTGAATATCCAGTAGCCCTAAGCCCTCGAGGCTCCATGTAGCTTGCTTTTGTTATCCCTCTATTCCTTTCAGAAATGAGCTGTACCATTAATCTAAAGGAATAATAGTGATCCAGAAGTCCCTAAATGCCTGTGCCCTAAATATCTGTGCCCTCTCTTGTTTAGGCCCATTCCCTTTCTCTGGATAATAATTCTGAAAGAATCTCTAAAATTATTGAAATGATTATTTATATTGATAACAAACTAATTTTACCCCAACCCCTGGATATTTGCTCTGTAGTTTCCCTGTCTTTAATATAGATTGAGACAATGAACTCCAAGGGGGAACTACCACAGGCTTTTTGGTGGAGAAACACACGGCAGAATAGATCTCAGAAGCTATCAGAAAAGTTCGTTAAGACTGCAAACTGTTGTCCTTTTGAGTCAGGTCATCTTATTCCTTATTCTGACTAGAAGGGAAGATTATGTTTCAATCGTGTGTACAAGAATGTAGTTGGATTTTGACTTTTCTGAATATCTAATGATCACAGATGCAACTTAAGCACAATTATGTTGATGTTATTTTATTTTGCCTTTTTATGTTACATTGATTTTTATTCAGTGGTTGTCTATCAAATTTATCCCTATTTTCCCTTAAATATATGATTATATATACAAAACCAAATATAATAAATCAAATCCAGCAGAGAATTAAACTCTACTTTGTCTTAGTATTTCTTTCAACCTAGGAATGCAAAAATGGTCCAACATTTGAAAATCTATTAATAGTTTAAGGGAGAAAAATCATAAGGTTATATATCATAGATGTAAAAGATATTTTTTGAAATTCAGTATACATTCCTGATTTTTTAATATGCAATAAACTAGGGATAGATTTCCTTAACACATTAAGTATTTATTAGAAACTCATGTATGTCTGTCCCTCTGTTTCCTCCCTACTTCATGAAGTTATTTTGAGAATTAAAAGCTTTCCCTATATTAAGTGTGGAAATGACAGATACTACTTATTATTAATAACAATAGTGAAACATTAGGGGAATCCCATTATAGTCAGAAACAAGGAATAAGATAAAAATTTTGTCAATCACCATTGTTATTCATTCAGTTTTCTTCTATAATTCTTAAATGATGTAAGAACATTGAAAGGAACAGAGTTGTCATTTTGTAGTTAAATGTATATCTAGAATGATGAAGAGAATCAGTTGGAACTATTAGAGTATAAACTAAGCATAAAAACTTACCCATTTGGCATCAATAAAAATTAGATGACATATATACACTATTGACACTATGAATAAGATAGATAACTAATGAGAACCTACTGTATAGCCAAGGGAACTCTACTCAATGCTCTGTGACCTAAATGGGAAGAAAATCCAAAAAAGAGGGGATATATGTATACGTAAAGCTGATTCACTTTGCTGTACAGTAGAAACTAACACAACATTGTAAAGCAACTATACTCCAATAAAAATTAATTTAAAAAACATTAGAAGCTTAATAGGAAAAAAGTACTCAGCCATAGTCAGCAAGTGTAAATGTATCTGGGAATAAACACAGTAAGTCTATGTGAAAAAAACCTGTAAAACTAAGAGGACTGTAATAGGTTTATCCTATTAGCATATGTTAATTTTTCCCCCATTTTAGCTTTGGTATCCTAAAAAGCAAGTTGGACTTCAGAAAGTGTTCTGAAATCTGGTATGCTAAGAGGTAACTTTCTAATTTGGAGAAATTAATGGAATAATATTTAAATGGATTCTTCTCTAGGTGTGTGAAGTATACACACTTCATAGGGAAACATTTTATCTTGCGCAAGACTTTTTTGATAGATTTATGTTGACACAAAAGGATATAAATAAAAATATGCTTCAACTCATTGGAATTACCTCATTATTCATTGCTTCCAAACTTGAGGTAAGTTCTCAAAGTTTATCCATGGATATATTTACCGCAAATTTTTTTTGTCTTAACCAATGCATTAATCCCAGAGAATACTATGTACCACTTTTGATATGTTAATCCTTAGGAAAGATGAGTGAGTTTTTTCCAATACATTTTCTGAACACTATGATTTGGGTGGAAGGATAATTATCATGGTTCCCTTCAAAGTATCTGAGCCTATTATAAGTCCCTGGTTTGATCCTAGAACTAGTATCTAGGTGAAATGTTCCATGGCTAACTGTGCCAAACAAAATGACCAACGCTGTCTCTCTATACCTAGTTATAGCACTTGGATTCAATAAAATGGTCTCTGAAACCTAATTAACCAATCAAATGCAATAAATGCTATGTTAGGTTAGAATAATGGTCTATATCCAGCCTAGTATTTTTATATCTGATGATGGTGCTAGGATAGAAGGAAACACCTTTCCTGCCTGAGATTTTCCTTCACACGATCTCAATCTACTTTTCTTAAATTCAACACATAAGGATATCGTTAGTACCTTCATCTGAAATTTTTGAAGCCTGTATTGTTTTGAGGGTAGAAGAGGGACTGTGAATCATGCATTAATTTCCTTAATGTATTTTTCTCCTCTTCCACATTTTTCTTTTCAGCCTTAAGGGCTATCCCCAAATTCTGCCAAATTTGATGAATAAGTTTGTATTCAGTATATCCTTACCTGAAATCACATGGTGTGTTTCAGATACCTTTCTAGACTGAAATCTTGATCTTTAGCCTGTTCTCATCTTTGGCAACATCTCTTCTACTCCTCTGGTCATTCTAGTTGTTATTCTCTGAACTGTTAAGACAGACCTGTCATCAACGAAACTGCACAAATTATTGTTTGAATAACCATACTTTTGTACTAGGATAAAGTTAATGTTTTCAATTTCTAGACCTTATTTGTTGAGTATCTTGTTTTAGTCTGATATACTAGGCAATCCTAAAACAAGTTTGGCTTTTCGTTTTAACCAGTCACTGAAATGACTGGTTAAAATAGTCTAATTGTTTATTAACTAAGATTCAAAATCAGTTCTATAAAAATGTTTCAATCAATATAGTTGGCTAATTTAGATACCCAGGTATGAAAAATATTTTTAAAGGTAAGGTTGCTTTGGCTATCGTAGAATTATTTTATTAAGATTTATAATCATTTTGTCCTTTAAAAATGAAGCCTAGATTGGTTTGTATATAATTCTTTTGTTTTAATCTCACTCTCAACTGTGCTTGATACTAATTAAATCTATTTTAAAGGAAATCTACGCTCCTAAGCTGCAAGAGTTTGCTTATGTCACTGATGGTGCTTGCAGTGAAGAGGATATCTTAAGGATGGAACTCATTATATTAAAGGTAATAATATATCTTTATTATTTCTAGTTGCAATTTAATAACTGTAATTTACTAAACTCAAAGACTACAATGTTAAGTAGTCAAAACTGAGATTTTAGTATTAGGATCCAGTTCTAAGATGGGAGGGGAATTTGCTTAACCTGTAAACTCTATTTTTCTGTATCTCTCAATTCTCCTATATTGAGAATATTATTTCTTAATTTAAAGGTGTTTAACAACACTTTCGAAACTTACAGGTAGTTAGCATATCATGTGTATACAAATGAATTCCAACAGTGATTCTCAAATCTTAGTTCTGATTTTCCACTTCTTCCAGCAGGTGGAGAATGAGAATTATTTCACTGCCTTTTTTCTTTTCTATATGCATGGGAAAGGCTTTTAATAGAAGGGTAGAGGAAAGAAGCATTAAGATGTTTAATTGGAATTATACTCCAATAAAGATGTTAAAAAACAAACAAAAAAAAGAAAGTAAAGAGCTAGTTGAAAAAAAAAAGATGTTTAATTGGGCCTTGAATTAGAGATTAAAGGGTGAATGTTAGCTACTAGAAAGTATGTTATGAAATTTGAGCATCCTGGTTTTATAAATAGGACACAAGAAAACACAATCAATATGACTTTCATTTACAAGATTATCTATAAACTACATTATAATATAAATTTTTTATGTTTATAAACATTCAGATTGATAGCTCTGTAAGAATGGGATCTTGTTGGCATGCTGATATTCTTTTTAAAAGAAATTTTTTCATTGAAATATACTTGATTTTCAATGTTGTGTTAGTTTTAGGTGTACAGCAAAGTGATTCAGTTTTATATATATATATTTTTTCAGATTCTTTTCCATTATAGGGTATTATAAGACATTGAATATAGTTCTAATATGTTCTAGTAACAAAGTTATCCAGATTCAGACCTGAAGTATAGTATAAGGAGCATATATAATAGGAAGATGGAATCCTCTGGGTGGTCCTACAGACATTAAGACTCTCTGTTCTCTCCTAATTATTTTTGACTTCTTATAAATGGTAAAGTCCCAGGGCTTCATGGAGAGAATCATAAATTAGAATTTGTCTTTTTTTTAGCTTTTACATGTTGAACAGAAGCCATTATAGATCACATAAAGAAAAAGTGTAGAATCAGTTCTTCGGAGATCTGAATGGAATTAGCTGTGAAGTTATTGAATGAAATTAAAAGGGCAGTTTCAATAAAGAATACGTTTGGAAGATGAGGGGCTGCAAGAAATGAGAAAAGTAGGAATGAAAAATAGGTCCAAGGAACTTTGTCAATAAAGATAACTAGAGAATAATAAAGGGGTCTGTATCAATAATAGACTAAAACACAAGCAGCTTTAGATTGTGAGGTATCTATAGTTATGAAAATAGGAAGAAATATGCCCAAAGCAAAAAGTTTCTTAAATGACTATTTAAGGAGGTACCTATATAATGTGGTATATATACCTACATTTATTAACAGGCATTTTAATTTCATTAACAGGCTTTAAAATGGGAACTTTGTCCTGTAACAGTCATCTCCTGGCTAAATCTCTTCCTCCAAGTTGATGCTCTTAAAGATGCTCCTAAAGTTCTTCTACCTCAGTATTCTCAGGAAAAGTTCATTCAGATAGCTCAGGTATTGATATTTTTATTGAATATTTGCTAATGTTTTTAATTACAGGTTTTGTTTAGGGTATTTATAGTGCTAAATAGGCTACACAACAAAATGACAGCATACTGAATTAAATTCATTCCTTAATTGACTAGAACAAAACTTCTGATGCATAAAATTCTGTCCCCAATATTTACATTGCTTACTGAAAATTCTAGAAAACAAAGTTTTAAACCTTGCATTTAAATATATTATGAGCACTTTTTACTCTTTAGGAGTATGAGGTAGAGAGTTAAATACCTCTTTTTTTTTTTTTTTTTTTTTTTTTTTGCGGTACGCGGGCCTCTCACTGCTGTGGCCTCTCCCGTTGCGGAGCACAGGCTCCGGATGCACAGGCTCAGCGGCCATGGCTCATGGGCCCAGCCGCTCCGCGGCACGGGCACGTGGGATCTTCCCGGACCAGGGCACAAACCCGCGTCCCCTGCATCGGCAGGCGGACTCTCAACCACTGCGCCACCAGGGAAGCCCTAAATACCTCTTTTTGATGTAACATGGGGAAAGGTATTTTTCAGCCAGTTGTTTTAGGTTTTATAATAGTATGAAATTATTCTGTAAAATTATCTTACACTCGTATTTGAATACACAGGGAACCTATTTTATGTGTTAAAATTAAAATCACCTTAGTTATTATTTAAAACTTTTAAGTTTAAATTAAACTTTCCTAGGCCAGTGTATAACAAATATTCTAAGAAAGTAATTACAGGAGGAGGGTACCATTCTTTCCTGCCTGCTTCTCATAAGTAGGATCTTAAGGCTGCTGTACCTGCCATATATAAGTGAAGAACACCCAGATTCTTACTCTGTGTAGGATGTGAAAATCTTACACATGGAATTGAAGAAACTGTGGTACTCTGGGTGGGTTTAAGTAACCTACGTTGAAATTCAACTTGTGTTTTAGTAAACTCATTATGAACACTAAAACTGGAGAACCAGTAAATATATTAGAATTGGTTCATTTTGTAGAACTTTCTAATGAAGTCATATTAATTTTTTCCCTCAGATTTCCTAGCATCCCAGATTATCCTAGGCAGCTAAACGCTTTTGATAGGGCAAACCTTTGATAAGCTGATAAACAGTGTGGAAAGCTTCTAGAGGTATATACTAGTAATAATTCATTTCCAACTCCTCTACTCCTGTTTCTGTCTTCTGGACCCATGGGGACAAAAATAAGTTTTATTTCACTGGACAGGTATCACCTCAGGCCTCTGAAATCTAACCTTTTTACATAATTTCACTGATCATTGTTCAGATCTCTTATTGCCTGGATTGTACTACCTCTCAACTCATCTGTTTAGAAACATGTTCCCTTCTTGTGTTTCTGCTTCACCACAGTCTAAGGGATTGTTCTTAAAATGTAATTTCCCTGATTTAAAATCTTCTAGTAACTTCAATAATCAGTCAGAACTTTAAAGTTCTGACTTCTTAAAGACCCTTTATGATCTAACCTAGGCCATGCCTCTCCAGCAACCCCCTTTTTTTAAAATAATGAAGGAAAGATATTCCTTATGTCATATTTTTTACCTTATGTGTTCTGACTTGAGTGCCAAAGAAAAGTAATTCTTTCTCATTTATCTTTGTAAATTCTGTTTCCTATATCTAGAACACTCTCTACCTCCCAGTCTTCCTGGCTACCTTGTATTTTAAGACTCATTTAAGCAGAAGTCTTCCCTGTCTTCCCCACTCTGGATCAGGTGCGCTTCCTAATAGTACACATCATGCTATATCGTAACAATCCTTTACTTGTTTATTAACAAGATTGAACTTCCTGCAGGGTGGCAGCTTATTTCTCTTTGGATCCCTGTAGTTTTAGCAATTCTTGGCATATGGTCCACATCATAAGCAATCTAAAATGTTAGCTGACTGATGTTTAGTAGTGACATGTAGTACTCATCCTTCTCCTAAATTCTTATACTTTTTCCTCTGTTAGCTTTTAGATCTGTGTATTCTTGCCATCGATTCATTAGAGTTCCAGTACAGAATACTCGCTGCTGCTGCCTTGTGCCATTTTACCTCTCGTGAAGTGGTTAAGAAAGCCTCAGGTAAGACAGTATATTTTGTTCTCTTCTTACCCATTCACAAATTTTAAAGGGACTATTTTGAACTTAGCATCCTGCTAAACAAGAATTTAAAATTTTAATGGAAGAAAGCAGTTTAGTGATTATCTTCCCTTCTATTAGAAGTACTTTCTAATCCTCAATATATATCCACAAACAAAAAATAAGGTCAAATGGAACTTAAATCCAGTTGAAGTTAGTCAATATAATTATAGCTCCGCATTAAAGAGTTCTTTGGGTTTTGACAATTTCAATTTCCTATGTAGCAGGTACTGGCTAAGAAGCTCTAAGTCTTTTTCTCCCTCAAAATAGTCACATTATAAACATATTTGAGAGTGATAGTGTGTTTTGACTTGCTAAACTTGTTTTATTTTAATTTTTTTAAAGTATAGTTGATTTACAACGTTGTGCCAATCTCTGCTGTGCAGCAAAGTGACTCAGTTATACATATAGAGACAAGCTTTTTTTATATTCTTTTCCATTATGGTTTATCACAGGATATTGAATATAGTTCTCTGTGCTATACAGTAGGACCTTGTTTATCCATCCTATATACAGTAGTTTACAGCGCTAATCCCACATAAACTCGTTGATTTTGGTTTATATTATGTGCTTGTTTTGGTTTCCTTTTTTACATGAATTTTAAATTAACTATCTTTAAATTTTGAAGCACAAGCAAATAAGTAGGCATATGTTTCTGATGTAACCTTCACATTTTTCTAACTTTTCTTTATCTAGGTTTGGAATGGGACAACATTTCTGAATGTGTAGACTGGATGGTGCCTTTTGTCAGCATAGTAAAAAGTACTAGCCCAGTGAAGCTGAAGGTTTTTAAGAAGATTTCTATGGAAGACAGACACAATATACAGACACATACAAATTATCTGGCTATGCTGGTATGTTTCTTTCTTGTAGTTTTTTGGTCTTACTATTTGGTAAGTCACTGAAACTGATAGTAAGGATACTACGGAGTAATATTTCAAGCAGTTATATAAGATGGTAAGGGACAGAAAGTTCCAATGGGCACACTGATTTCAAAATGTAGAAAAGGTGGGCTTCCCTGGTGGTGCAGTGGTTGGGAGTCCACCTGCCGATGCAGGGGACACGGGTTCGTGCCCCGGTCCGGAAAGATCCCACATGCCGCGGAGCGGCTGGGCCTGTGAACCATGGCCGCTGAGCCTGCAGGTCCGGAGCCTGTGCTCCGCAACGGTAGAGGCCACAACAGTGAGAGGCCCACATACCACACACACAAAAAAAAAGTAGAAAAGCTAATAAAATAACTTTGAAGTCAAAGCAAGATTTATGAAGTGTCTCAAGATTAATGCCAATAGTCCAGGTAAGAGTTTTTAAAAACACAAGTTGCAGGCAGTTGAACCTCTAAAATATGACTAATCACAGTTGCAAACACATAAAGAGAGGATTATATTAGGCCTAAGTAGCCTCAAATTAGTACACAGAAGTCTTGTTTGACTTTGTTTTACCATATCAATGCTTTATCTTAGCTGTTAATCTCTGCATGATTTCTTCACATGTACAGGATGAAGTAAATTATATAAACACCTTCAGAAAGGGGGGACAGTTGTCACCAGTTTGCAATGGAGGCATTATGACACCACCGAAGAGCACTGAAAAACCACCAGGAAAACACTAAAGTTAACTGAGCAAACAAGTTGGAAGTGATGAAGTGCTGCGTAGCATTTCATAGAACTTAACTACTTAAGTCTTACAGGAAAATAGTGCTGTGGCTGTCCTGGCTGATTCAGAAGTTTCACTGGCATTCTCTGATTTAAAAAACCACTTAAAATTGGCACTAAGGAGGAAATTTAATTCCTATATTCGCTGTTTAAAGAAACAGCAGGACTTGTTTACAAAGATGACTTCATTCCCAACACTGACTGGATAGAAGCCAGCCATGATTCATGACAAGAATTTCTTTCATACGGTGTTACTATGTTTATCTTGATAAACTAGGAATTTCATCATTGGAGTTTTTGACTAGATAAGTGCTACCTTACAGGGTACATTAAGTGATACAGTACTTTGAATCTAGTTTTTAGATTCTCAAAATTTATAAACTCTTAACTAGTGCAATTTGGTTCTTGAAAATAAAATTTAAACTTGTTTACAAAGGTTTAGTTTTGTAATAAGGTGACTAATTTATCTATAGCTGCTGTAGCAAGCTATTATAAAACTTGAATTTTTAAAAATGGTGAACTTTAATCTGTTTGACTATGTTTATTTGCCTTGCCATAACATTTTTAACCAGTAAATCTTAGATGAACATGGTGTTTAAACTGTGCTCTAAACAGTGGGAATGCCAAAGAAATTATAAACAAGATAAATGCTGTGGCTCCTACATGGGGCTTTGACGTATAAGTTGCTTTATAATAACTTTTTCGTACATCACAATTTGGGCGAAAAACTTAAGTACCCTTTCAAACTATTTATGTGAGAAAGTCACTTTATTACTCTAAAAAAAAAATCTTTAGGGTTATCTCAATTTAGTGTGACTAAGGCTTTATTTATGTTTGCAAAACTGCTAAGGTCCTTTTTAAATTCCTACATTATGAGTTAAGGACAGTGTCAAAGTGATAAAGCTTAACACTTGACCTAAACTTGTATTTTCTTAAGGCAGAAAAGCAGTAAATGTATACGACTCCTAGAAATCTATTTATTTAAAAAAAAAAAACAAAACCTTGACATAAGAACTTGCTGTATATAGCTACTTCTACATAAATATTTTAGTTTTTTAAAAATGAAATTTCAGCCTCAAAAGTGGATTTGATTAGAAAAATTATACTAGATTACTAGTTTATTCTATTACTGGACATGTGAATCTCTTCTTCCTTTGAAGAAATTATAAATTTAAGCTATTGTTATGGTGTGAAGTCTTCTGTAGAGTTTTTGTTTTTAAACTAATATGTTTCAGTATTTTGTCTGAAAAGAAAACGCCACTAAATATGTAAATATGTATTATATAAACTTAATCTTTTAATACTGTTTATTTTTAGCCCATTGTTTAAAAAATAAAAGTTAAAAAATTTTAACTAACTGCTTAAAAGTAAAGTTTTGCCATTGCTTGAAGAAACTTTTTTTTCCTTCTCTGCGCTGCCAGCTGTAACACTTCTTCTGGGTTGCTCGCGTTCAATTCTGTCTGGCCGATGGCTTTGATCTTCCAAAACAGAAAAGTGATGTTATCAGAGGTCTGGTCAAAAACAAAGTTTTGCTAGTATACAAAATATAAAACTACCTACTTGCTAACGATGATAAACTGAACCTCTAATTGTAGATGCTAAGAGGTGTAGAAGAAATTAACAAAGACTGACTGGAGCCACTCAAGGAAAAGATCAATTACTGAACCATAGTTTGTGGAATTATATTCAGTAACATCAAGTAAATTCATGTAAATTTATTTGACTAAAAATACCAGTAAAGGGACTTCCCTGTGGTCCAGTGGCTAAGACTCCATGCTCCCAGTGCAGGGGGCCTGGGTTCGATTCCCTGGTCAGGGAACTAGATCCCACATGCTGCACCTAAGACCTGGTGCAGCCAGATAAATAAATAAAGTATCTTAAAAAAAACAGTAAATAAACTCTACATGTAATCTGACACATTTTTACAATTAAGGCTCCTACAAAATAACCTGAAATATCAAAATTCATGTTTCAGGGCTTCACTTTTTTAGTACGTAAAATATATCTAGTTTGCTCAGCACTATAATATATAGTGACCCTTCTCTTTCATGATTAGAAATACTTGAGCCTGATAAAAATCCATAATAGTATTCTGCCATGGAGTGTTTTGTGAGAGCATGTTTTAGGACCTTAAAATTATCTTTTGTTTAAAGAAGTTCCTATATATATATATATATATTTTTTTTTTTTTTTTAAACAACAAAAACTATTCTGATAGGTAGCTTGAAGGGAGCTAAGACTATCCAGAAATGATCATCAGTTAGGTTAGTGGGTAGGAGGAATTGCGGATGATGCCATTTCCACATGAAAGAATACACGTGGAAAAACCTAGTAGTGGGGTATAACTAAAGAGTTATTTCAGACAAAATATCCTGAAGACGACTGGCTATAAAAGTTCAAAGTATAAGACAGAAATTGAAATAGGAGCCAGATATTTGAGAGAAATAACACATCCTAGGTGGGTAGTGGTCAAAACCATGAGGGGATGAGGTTACCTAGGGAGAATGTAGGGCAATCAGAAAATACCCAAGGACTAACTTCTTGGGAAAACCAAGTTTAAGGGGTAGACAAGTTTAAGGGGTAGACAGAGGGAAATACCCACAAAGAAGAAAAGGCAGAAGAGTCAGGGAGAAGAAATGAGTAAAAATGCCGGGGAAGCCAAAGGAATAAAGAATTTCAAGAAGGAAGGAGTGTAAACAACAGGATAAAGAGTGAAAAGTATTCACTGGCTTCGGCATTTGGTGACCCTTGAGAACAGTTAGAGTGGGGATGGCAGAAGTCAAATTGTATTGGACCAAAGAGCTTTAAAAAACTAGGCAGAGGGCTTCCCTGGTGGTGCAGTGGCTGAGAGTCTGCCTGCCGATGGAGGGGACGCGGGTTCGTGCCCCGGTCTGGGAAGATCCCACATGCCGCGGAGCGGCTGGGCCCGTGAGCCATGGCCGCTGAGCCTGCGCGTCCAGAGCCTGTGCTCCGCAACGGGAGAGGCCACAACAGTGAGAGGCCCGCGTACTGCAAAAAAAAAAAAAACTCGGCAGAGAAGGGATGAGAGAGAGGTGGAGTACAGTCCAGAGAAGTTTCTATTAAAGATGAAATAGTTTATAGGTATGGGAGTGGTTGACAATATAGGAGAGGAGATAACTAACTGAAAGGGACAATCACTGAAAGGATAGAATCAAAAGCATAAAAACTTGTCTTCATCAAGGAGTAGCATAGCTTTTACTGACTAAAAGCGTGGACTTAACAATGAATACAGTTGTCAATTATTTTGAAGGTGGAAAGCAGGGACCTGAAACAGGAATGTGAAGCTGGCACTCAAGGGGCCACAACTCCCAAGACTATAACTTTCACAAGGACGGAGGCTGATCAGTCTTTTTTTCTGGTCTACTCCAAACAGACAAGGAAGTTACTGAAAATGGAAAAGGGAGAGAGGACAGGGGCTTAATAGGGTGAAAGTCTAAAATATTCCCTAAAAAAGAATGCAGACCACTGACCACTGGCAGGTAAACAAAAGAAATGAGCGGCCAGCTAAGGTTGGAGGCCATGGTTTGGTAGTGGCACAAGTTTATACAGTTGTAGGATTTTTTCCAACAGAACTCAGTGGCTCAGGGGAAAAAAAGCATAAATTTTTGAACTGATTCAGGGCTGGGACTTTTCCAGATGAAGCAAAAGACAAAAAAGCAAAGATGCTGAAAATATTAATCAGAGTAGTCCCGACAGTCAACCATAGATAGAAGGGGTTCCCAAATCTGGTTTATAATCAGAACTACCTGGGAAAACTTAAAAATTGGATCCCAGGGTCTCATCTCAGATCAAATGAATCAGTATCTCTGAGAGTACACAGGCCAGTATTTGCTGTACTCAAGGTCAGTAGGGAAGGAACAGAAGTTGGAAAAGGGCTGACAGACTGGGGAAAACTTGGTCATGAACTTGAACATCTCACTGATGATGAGGAACATGGGAGCCCGGAAGTAAGAAAGGGATAGATTACTGGCACAGAGATCTTATGTAGAGCAATTCTGACAAAAAGGCCTGGCCATAGGTGGCTGATGAAGAGTAAAGGTGATAATGGAACCTGGAGTGCCAGGGGTGTTGGATAAGTTGATCACATGTCTTTTGATGCATGCACAGGAACATCCAGGTAGTTGTTTAGATGAGCTAGTAAGGAGGCAGGTGTAAGCTTCCAAGGAGAAAAGGCTTAAAAAATGATACAAGTAGAGATAGTCTAGAAATGCCATCAGGGAACTGGGAAATTTTCAGCATTGCCTTCCAGCCCTGGATAAGTTGGAAATGGAAGAATGAGTAGTCTCCAAGTAAGTGGAACTGGCACCATGTTCTTTTTCCTCTTTTTTTTTGAAAGATGCTGCTGTTATTCTGTTTCCTCTAAATAATGGCCATACAATTTAGTCCAAGTACAAAGCTTTAAAGGACACTTAATAAACGGCATATACTTTTATTAATGAGTGAAAGAGCAAAGAGAAAACATATATGGGTAATAGTGACACAGCAAATGTTAGGCTTGTAAAAATGACCATGAATTTGTAATGTTTTGGTTTATAAGTCAAATTTAAATAAATAATTCATCCATCAAGTAACTACTGAGCATCTATTATTTGCCAGGCACCATTCTAGGTATCAACTGTGACAAAACCAATTCCTACCTCATGGGGAAACAGCCAATAAGTAAGTAAATATACAGTATGTCAGTTGTAGATAAGTGCTATGGAGAAAAGTTTTAAAAGGGAAATGAGAATAAGAGTATTGGAGGGAAAGGGGGAGAGACATTGCTATTTTATAAGATGGTCAGGAAAGGACAATTACTTCTTAAGAAGGTGACATTTGAGAAGAGACCTGAGGGAAGTTAAAAGAATGTTCCTGAAAGAGAAAATTTCACAGGCCATTCGGCAGTGAATGTTCTTGGCATGTTCAAAGAACAGTAGGGGTACTGGTGTAGGAGAAGTTGCAAGGGAGAGTCGAATGAATAGCTAGAAGTCAAGTCACATGCGGCCTTGCAGGCCACTGTAAGGATTTTGATGCTGTATGAGACAGGAAATAGTTTAGTATTAGGGAAATTAAGCACATCATTGAAGAATCAAGGCATAAAATAACTTACCGCAATTTGTCTTTTATCTGTTTCTCCTCTTTTGTGATGAAGATCTAAATGAATCAGTTAAGAATAATAAAATTGATACTATTAAATATCACGATATTCTCAACTGTTGTTTTTTATTTAGAAAATACAAAATATTAAATACTTCTTTAATTTACAGAAATGAATTGTTCTAACATCACACACATATGTTGATGAAGGATACAAGTCAAGTATTCCAAAATGGTAACATCCCATATGTAGTCATAGTAGGAGTCCATAGCATCATGACTGAAAAACAGAACTCAGTTACTTCCTCTTTCTTAAGCAGAAAAATTTCAGCTTCATTTTATTTCAAAAACCATTCATACCTGTTTTGTTCCTGCAGTGATTTAAAGGCTGTTTTGTAGTCAATCTCTCTGAGGAACTGACATAAAATTGCCACCTACATAAAAAAAGAATTGAAAATGGTTTCATGTAACTAGTATCAACAATGACTACTGGTTTTGGAGGGGTAATTTTTAATGATTTTCATGTCAAGAGTATATTACTTAATTTAAGAGGCCTCGCAGATCAGGCTGAGTGGATCAGCTGATATGTATGGAATCCATCCAATTATAATTGTAAAAAACCCTTACACCAGGCTTCCCTGGTGGCACAGTGGTTGAGAGTCCGCCTGCCGATACAGGGGACACGGGTTCGTGCCCCGGTCTGGGAAGATCCCACATGCCATGGAGTGGCTGGGCCCGTGAGCCATGGCCGCTGAGCCTGTGCGTCCAGAGCCTGTGCTCCGCAACGGGAGAGGCCACAGCAGGGAGAGGCCCACGTACCGCAAAAAAAATACCGAAAAAAAACCCTTACACAAGTGTCTGTCTGCCCAATATTTTCTTCCCCTGTGACCTAAATCATAAATTTTTAGAGCTTTATCTGAATGAGAAGCTGGCAAAAAGCCAGTTTAGAAAACTGAAGGGAATGGAAAACTGCCAAACAAAAGTGTCAAACATTCAAGGACATATAGAACATCCAATTAAACCTTTCACAGCTGGCAAGTACAGAAGCTCATTTTGGCAAAATGTAGGCCAGTCTGCTTAACATTGAAAACAGATCCATTTCAGTCATGTATGTAGGTCATAATGCTGATCTCTTTTTTAAATATTTAAAGATTTTTAAATTGATTATTATTCACATATCATAATGTAAACCCCTTCAGAGTAAAAAATTCAGTGGTTTTTAGAATATTCAGAAAATTGTACAATCATCACCGCTTTTAAGTCTAAAACATTTCATTACCTGCCTCCCGCAAGAAAACAAAAAGCTCCATACCCATTAGTAGTCAGTCTCTATTCCTCCCCTACCTCTCCACCCCACAGTCTCTGGCAACCACTGATCTACATTCTGACTCTATAGATTTCCCTATTCTGGACATTCCAAATGAATGAAATCATACAATACAAAGCCTTTTGTATCTGGCTTTTTTTTACTCAACATAAAACTTCCAGGATTCGTCCCTGTTGTAGCATGTATCAGTACTTCACTCCTTTTTATGGCTGACTAATATTCCACTGTGTGTGTATATACACACACACACACACACACATACACACAACACACACACACACCAAATCTCGTTTATCTGTTCATCAGCTGATGAACACTTGGGTTGTTTCCACTTTTTGGCTATTATGAATAATGCTGCTATAAACATTTCACATACAAATTCTTCTGTGGACATACGTTTTCAGTTTTCTTGGTTATATACCCAGGAGTGAAACTGCTGGGTCATACGGTAGGTAATTCAATGTTTAACTTCTTGAGCAAGCACCAAATTGTTTTCCAAAGAGGTTGCCCCATTTCATATTCCTACCAGCAATATATGAGTGTTCTAATTTCTCCACATCTTCACCAATACTTGTTACTATCTTTCAGTTACAGCCTCCTTGTGAGTGTGAAGTGACATCTCATTGTGGTGTTTACATTTCCCTAATGATTAATGTACATATCTACTTTTAAATATAAGAAAACATACTTGAGAATGCTTTTTCCATTTATAAGGTTCAAAGACCAATGCCTTCTAACTCATACTTTCATTTTAGTTAAAATTCTGTAAACTATTTTTAAAAAATTTAAAGAACATGCAAATTCTTAAATACCATAAATTTAAGCAATTATGATACGGAAAATAAAAGCTACTTCCCAGTCCAATGCCTTATATTTATCATAAACTCTAATATTCATGAAAACAGACCAGCATCATAATATAAACTAACCTGTGTGTGGCAATTCAGCAAAGAACAGCACTTTATCATTCGTTTTATTACCTACAAAAACAAAATTCTGGTTATTTTCAAAAACTAGTTAATGTCAATTGTAACAAATGTACCACTCTGATGTGGGATGTCAATCATGAGGTAGGTTGTACATGTATGGGGACAGGAGGTACATGAAAACTCTGTATTTTTCACTCAATTTTGCTATGAATCTAAAACTGCTCCAAAAAATAGAACTTTTAAGTTAAAAAAATCTAGTTATTAAAAAATTTTAAATCTTATTTCAAAAGCCATTATTGTAAATATTAAAAAATGCCATTTATTAAATTATGATATTGGTGGCCTAAACCAGAGGAAAGGGTAATGCATATTGAGAGAAAATTAACAAAATTTGAGATTTAGGAGGCAGAATCAATATGCCTTGAAGGCTGAATGGATGTTGGTGGGAGGGTTAGTAAAGAAAAGAGGATGACAGGATTTATGCTTGGTCAACTCAAAGGGCTAAACAAAGCTGACTGCTATTTCGGTGGGGTCTTCTGTTTTTGTTTTTGTTTTGGTGTGGGAAGGTCATCAGGAGGAGAGACTGGTAGAGTAAGACGCTGAATCAGGGAACTTCCCTGGTGGTCCAGTGGGTAAGACTCCGCGCTCCCAATGCAGGGGGCCCAGGTTTGATCCCTGGTCAGGGAACTAGATCCCACACACATGCTGCCAACTAAGAAGGAGTTCACATGCCGCAACTAAGAGCCTGTATGCTGCAGCGAAGAGCCTGCAAGCCGCAACCAAGACCCGGAGCAGCCAAAATAAATAAATAAATACTAAAAAAAACCAAAAAAACAAAAAAAAAACTGCTGAATCAGTTTTGGACAGGTTGAGTTTCAGGTGTTTTTGGGAAATCAAAGCAGCAATAGCTGTGGGCACTGGAAATATGGAGAGCAATCTGGTCTAGAGCAATCAATTTGGGAGTTACCACCATATACATGGAAATGAATAAGCTCATGCAAAAAGAGGCCCAGGAAGAAGAACATTTAAAGCCAGACAAGAAGCAAGCAAGCCCGCAAAAACAACCTACCTGGTCTGTATAAACATCTGGGGGCACAGCCTTATTAAAGAAATCAGAACACACCGCTCCTGCCTGGAGGTAATAGTGAAGAGCTGCCGAATACTGATTTGTTGCTTGAAGTAGAAAAGAGAGATAAAGAATTACCTGCCATTAAGTACACAGCTGGAAAAATAGGGCCTCTTTTGTGAAGAGTCAGGTATTATTACTTCATGTTTGACAAAAGCAGATTCAAACCACAGACCTAGGGATAACACTTAGCCAGGCCAACCATGAGAAAAATTGGCTTTATTTTTTCAACCACTTTAAAGTAGTTGTATAATAGAGTCTTTCCTTCTCAAACTGATTAGCCAAATATTCAGCTCAGATTCCTTGTCAAACGTACTGGTACAGAATTTAGTATTTGGAGGTACAGCCAGTATTTTGTAGTGACTATCAATGGAATATAACCTTTAAAAATTGTGAACCACTATGCTGTAAACCTGTAACTTATGTAATACTGCACATCAACTATACTTCAATTTAAAAAATGAAAAAAATAAAAATGACTTAAGGCTGCTTGCAATAAGTCACTTAAAAAAAAAAAGCTGGGTGGCAGACACAGGAGATACATGGGGATTCATTATACTATTCTCTCTACTCTTACATTTTGAACTTTCTCTTTAAAAAAATCAACTCCTAAAAAAGTGACCCAGAAATGACACCAGTCAGAACTGTAATTTGATCTGTATAGTAATAGAAATATTAGAAATTCCCTATCAAGTTGGAAAATCTATCACATACACCGGGGGGAAAAATTAGGAATCTATTTTCAAGAACACAAATAATTATCAAGAGTGCCTGGACATATTTTAGAACATTTAAAGAGCAATTTTGTAAACTAAACTTTAACCTCTTTCCTTAAGAATGTTTTACCAACTTTTTAGATGACCGTTTACTATTAAAAAAAAAACAACACAGAGAAAAAGTAGTCAACATAAAACTAAAAGCATCTGAATCAAAGGCTCAGAAAAATGCATACATATAACAATAAGTTACTTTCAATTTTATCTAGGAAGAAGAGTTAGAGAATGTCAAAAACAAGACTTAAGTTTAATAAAGTATTGTAATAACAAGTGTAATATATTTATTTTCACTTCTAAAACTGCTACGAAAACAAAACACAAAGCAACCATACATCTCACTTACCAAAATAAATGTCTGCCTGAATAATTAACCAGGAATGGTTGTTTGGGTTTATACTGAGGGAATACCGAACTAGCTCTTTCACTGTGATAGCCACGGCTTCAAAGTCCACGGACTGGAGGCTATATGAAAGACAATAAACATAATCTCTATTTTAAGAGTCAACTTCAAATTCCATACACACATTTATTAAAAACAAAAAGGCTTCGTCAAAATGTAGGTGATCATAAACACAATGCTAAATATTACTAGGAGTAAATATTTTAAAACTACCAAAACAACTAAATCTGAGGAAGTGTGATCAGCTAACTTTTTATGAGGGGCTGAAAACAATCTGATTTTTGTTTCCTTTATTTTCCCAAAATGCCAAAGAAGGCCACTCTAAAAAGTATCTTTAAATATTCGACAATATAAAGCACAAAAAAGGTCATAGGATAAAACCCTGTCTCCACTTTTTATGCACAATTTACAGGCAACAAAATTACAAAGAGACAGACTCATAAAATTTTTCCAAATGATTTTTAAGTTCTGTTATCTAGAGGAAGCTACAGAAAACAAGGGCTCAAACACTAACAATACTGCTACATGGCCTTAAATTCACCTTGTGGCTTCTTGTAAGGGTTAACTAACTCCTCTGGATTAGATGTTTCACCGGGTTGGGGCGAGCCATGGCAAGGGTATCACTGCAGCTCATTTGCAAGCAATGAAGAATCCAAAAAAGAGTACGGAAGGGGGCCAGCTGCTCTGAGCCTAGTTCAGCCTGGAAGTCCTGAGATGCAGAATTAGGAGGTGGAACTGTGAGGATAAAGCCAAGCAAACGCCCAAGAAACACGCTGACAGCCCCTACGGCGAGACCCAGCGGGGGAGAACGAGCTTCGGCTTCAGAAACACACCGAGGTTCAAGTCCTGGCGCTATCATCTAACAAGTTGGACAAAGTACTCCTGTTGCCCTGAGGGGTCAGATTTTACCATAACTCACCGCTGTTCCCAGTACAGTGGGAAGGTATTGTGGTGCCATTAGTAAACACCCAACTGTTGATTTACAACTAATTTATTTACAATTATTTAAATGAGTTACACTGGTTTATGTTTCCTAGAAATTATAAAATGTTAAGTCTAAGAATTCTATCTACATAACAAACAATCAATTTTAAAATAGTAACACTTAATCCATGCCATCCTCACACTATTCTTGGAGTCAATAAAGACTCCTCTGCTCAAGAGAAATATCTTTTCTGGTCAAACATTTAGTCACATTTTATTTTCTCTGGGTTAATTTACATTAAAGTAATTTTATCATGAAAACAATAGTTAAGCCTACTACGTGGCAGCCCTTATTCTAAACACCTAGCTTAGAAAGTTTATTATTTAATCCTCATAAGGTAGGTACTATTCTTATACCTGTTTTACAGATGAGGAAACTGGCACAGAAAGCAACTAACCCAAGGTCATATACCTGAGAAGTGGAGAGGCTGGGACCCAGTCTCTCTGAGTCTGGCTCAGAACCTCTATAATAAACCATTCTTTTGCCCCATTTATAAACACACACTGAAAAAAATCAATCATTAGTTTACAGTCTAAACTTAGGCCAAAGAAGTAACACCAAAGAGGTATTACAACCATCAATTAAAAAGGCAAAATGACCTCTACCTGATTCTTGGATTGCTATCTAATATACCAAATTTTATGTAAAAATCTGCAGTTATTTGCTTCAGGAAGCATAGTGCTTCTGTGGGAACTACGGCTCATAAGCGGAGGGAAGGGTCGCTCACCCACTTTAGACTCTCCGAATCCCTGTCAGAGACAGAACGGCTTCCAGTCTCTAAGACTGAGACGGAAGCAAATTGCTCTCATTCTACTGCCTGCTTACCTACCTACTACAATCTTTTCTTCTTCAAAAATGCCACTAAAAGCAATAAAATAAGGTCTAGATCTGCCCTTCAGGCACAAAGAAGATGACTGGCGGGGAAGGGAGAAAAGGAAAAGTAACTTTTGTGAGGAAACAAATGGACTCTCCTGAATGAGAAGTTGCTACGTGTGGGAAGAGAAAAATATAAATGGTTTCTTCTTCCAGAAAAGGAACCTTTTCTTCTTCCCCCCCAAAAATTTCCCCATCCTCTTACTGTGATTCTCAGGTGATGAAAGTTAAGAGAGAAGATTTCTTAAATTACTTAAAGAACTTCTTAAGGCAACTAAAAAGGGTTGGGAACCTCCGACAATCACTGTTAGAAAAACCTGATAGAAAGTCATTCTTTAATTAGCCTCAATTTTCTAATTCTACCACTGACAAGGAATCAGGACTACTGAGAGACTGTCTAGGTTCTACTTAAGGCTACTATACCTTAGCTCTTAACTTAGTTATGCCTTATCCATAATTTTTAGGAAGATTATTACTGTTAATAGAGAAACATGAAGTTGGCTATAGAGTCCTAACAAATTGCAGCCTTTTGATCAAATTATTCAAGGTTATCTATATCAGTCAGGATGGTTTCTAAATATATAAAACAGTTTAATAAAATGTAAGCTGTAATACTTCTTACTTGGGGATGGAGGATGGCCAGATAGAAATGTGTTCAGCTGTAATATCATTCACAATGTCCTCCTTATTTAAAAAAAAAAAAAAAAGCATGATTTAAAAGGAAATTTCTTCCAAAGATTTTTTAGATGAAATTATAAAATACTTACCCGAACATTGTGAAGTTTCACAAAGAGTGATAAAATAATAGTCAAAACCAACGGTTCCTATGAGAAAGAAAACACAGAATCCTTAAATATTATATATACTTTAGTATCTCTCCCATCTACTTCAAGGACACCAAGTATTTTCCTTCAAAAGATTCTTACGGGTTTGAAAATTACCACCTGCTCTAGTTTACAGCACACTAAAGATCAACTTTATTTTTAATCTCATGAAAGAAATGACAACACACAATTTACACAGAAATGACCAAATTTAGGTGTCTGTCCTCACGTCTTTTGAAATTGAGTAAACAGACCTCTTTCCAACTAGTACTTCCAGCTACCTCTAGAAAAAATTGACTTTTTAATTCCTTAAAATAATAAAGGATGGAATTTAAAGAGTGGAATCTATGTCCAATAAATAAATATGACGTTAATCCTATCAAGAAAAATTAAAGTTAGGCTTCACCTATCCAGCCCTATTATGAAGAATTCTTTACAGTTTAAAAAACACCTGTTCTATTCACTAAAACATGGTAAGGTAAATGCAAAACAAACTTCTCCATTCAGACTATCCCATCCTCAAAAAAATGATCACTGAAGCTAAAAAGCACATTAACAGATTACTTAAATAATCAGCGTTTAAACACTCAATATTTTTTGTCATATTCTACAGGAATCAGCAATAGTAGTTAGATCAATTTTTATAAAGCTTACCCGTAATTTTTTGATAAAAGAAAGCAGTTCACTCCTACAAAAAACACAAATTGTGTATATGCATTTAATATTAGAAATCAAAAATAAAAACAAGAAAGTAAATTATACGTGAAGGTTTATTCCCAACTTTCCAGTCCTGCATGTATAAAAGAGTATAATATTCTACTGTTGTACTAACCTAATAAAATGTCTTTCCTGCTGTAATCACATGTGACATCTTCAGTACCATCCAACCAAAACTGTTGACTTTGAACTCAGGTTTGATTATATTAAATGATTAATAAGTAGTCTCTTAAAGTAACATATAAGCAAGGTATTTCCTAAGGTGGCCATATCAGACAAGTCCATTGGAGATCAGCACCACAGAATTCTTACATTGCCCATCTTTATGATACACAAGGATAATGGTAGGTGTTCTTACAACAGTACAAATAGTATAAATAAATAAACAAACTGATAGAACATACCGATACATTATACCTAATGTAGACTCCCTCTGCTTTATTAAACTAATTCTGCCATCATTTCCTCGTTTGTGTTGACTGGACACACTACAGATCTGAACAACAACTTCCCAAAGGTCTTTAGCAGTCCGCCTACTTTCTTTAGGGCCTGGAAGTTCTTTGCATGTAGCTGCTAAAAGCTGTCCAAGCTATAACATGAAAAACAGACAGAAAATACACAAAAGATAATCTGTAATGTCATACATGCTATTTCTATTTCTATGAGGAACATTTGAAGAAAGATAAATAACTGCCCACACATACGAAGCACAGGTATCTTATGCTGTGCCTTCTATCCAACCGCTGAAGAACTGAGAGCTCACTGTCTACCGACAGATCTGAATCCGATCTGGGAAGGGAATCCTCTAGTCCCACCACATTATAAACCTCCTTGTTTCTAAACAATTATAGTCTAATGAGAAGAAAATGAGACAATGCAAAGAGGTATGTGATCTATTCAGTGGGAAAAAACAAAACTGCTAAATACACATAGTATGATCCCACCTTAAAGAAAAGCCCAAAATGGAGCATATACACTACAATGTTAACTGCCAAAGCCCCGAGGTGAGACTAAAATAGGGGTTAAGTTTCACTCACACACACAATTTTTTTTTAATTTTAATGGAAAAAATGAGGAAAAAATATGGACATTGAAGTTGGCAGAATAAAGGAACAGGATCTAGAGCAACTTTTCTCTAAGAAAAATGATAGCAACTGGGGATGGACCTACTGCTGATGTGAGGAGGTAGAATTAGGAAGGACAGATTACTGAAAGCGACTGATCTGAATAAAGGCAGCCTTCAGGACCAAAGGTGTAGGAAGGACCCAGAAATAAAGACTGGAAGGGCTGAAAGCAAAAGGCACAGAAAAGACAGGCCCAAAATGTAGAGAAAGAAATAGGTTTATGTGCCAAATCCAGCACGTCTTTCCCTCTATAATTTAAGCAAGAGAGAGCCCCTCTGTCCTTTCTTTTTAGTAATTCTTATACATCATTTCTCTTTAGAGGGTAAAGTAGCCAAGGATAATTCACGTCCATCAGGAATCCCCAGTTCCCTGACTGGACCTAGAAAAGGTTCATAATGGGGTCCCACTGCTTAAAGAAAGAGGCAGGATTATGACAAAGGTGAAAATAGTGCTTTCCCCCCAAATTTCAAACATAGAAAAGTTGAAAGTACAGTTCAATAAATCCCTGAACACTTGACTTAATTTACAAGAATTCTGGTGCTGCCTAAGGCTAGTGACAATGGTGTTGGAAACCCTCGCTACGCTACGCGAACGGGAACCAGGGTCCCTGACCCAGGAGGACATTTCATCCTGCGTGCCTACTGCACGTACTCTTCTCTAACAACTAGGATCACAATATACACAAGCTATTTACTGCAGTTCTCAATTTCATTTTCTGTTGTCAGAGATCACATGCTTGGCTGAAGGTTACTACATTAAGCAAGTAAATTCACTTAAAAGTAAGAATTTTCAGAGGTATTAGGCCCCAAGTCAATTGAATTCCACAAACATTCTTGAGCATCTCCTATGTGCTGGGTATCAGGCAAAGCACTGAAAATATGAAAATCAACTGTCCTCAAGAAGCTCACTGTTTTACAGGGAAGACAGACAGGTGAACAAATAATTTACTATACAGTATAAGTGCAACAAAAGAAATATGTCCACAGTACAACAGTACAGAAGTAACAAGAACAGCAAGTTTGCAAAGAAAAGAATTATGGAAAGCTTCAAAGAAACTACACAAACCGGCAAAAGTGGGAAGAGCATCTCGGCCAAATGAACACACAGAAGTGCAGAAGTGCGGAAGCCTGAGAAAGCACTGTGTGAACAAGGGCCATGAGCACTCTGGCACCACAGACAGAGCTGGCATGACAGGGAGGGAGAAGGAGAAGCTCCCACACCTTAAAAGGCCTTGCAGGCCACGGCAAAAGCCATGGTCTTTGTCTTATACCATCATGACTGTTAGCGCCAACCTCTCCTCCTCCCACTAGCTAGTCTCTTATAATCCAAGCGCCCATAAATGCTATACATTTTCCAATATACTACACTACCTCCCATACTGATCCAAGGGAGAGGCTGGACTGTTTTTCTTATTTCTAAAGGTCATATTTAGTCACATGCGTAAGACTTTTCCCTTTCCTTTTTCCATTCCTAAGAGAATGGAAAATAAAATTGATTAAAAATCACTTAAGGGCTTCCCTGGTGGCGCAGTGGTTAAGAGTCCGCCTGCCAATGCAGGGGACACAGGTTCATGCCCCAGTCCGAGAAGATCCCACATGCCGCGGAGTGGCTGTGCCCATGAGCCATGGCCGCTGAGCCTGCGCGTCCGGAGCCTGTGCTCCACAACGGGAGAGGCCACACCAGTGAGAGGCCCGCATACCGCAGAAAAAAAAAAAAAAATCACTTAATATTTCATTACCCAGGGATAATGACTATTAATATCCTTCCAGACTCTTCCTTATGCATCTGTATATATATTCCACATCAAATTCAAAGTTTGAAAGCTGCTCTAAATTGTCTAATTTTTAATACCTGATCCCTTACTCTAGACTTCTTAATCTGATTACTTTCTCCTCTACGTTAACAAGGGAACAAGGGGCCAACTAGGGAAGGAGACACACAAAACCCTAATCCAGATGAGACGATGAGATGCCTCAGTGGTCCCTGCAGCAAGGTCACCTCGTACCCTTCCTCCTCTGTGGCCAGATCAAGGGGAAGTGCAGGAAGCAGTGAGCTAACCTAGCCCAAGGTTAGGCAACCTACAACACAATACCCCGTGCCCTTCCACACTGCAGGCCCTCAAACATGCGGCCAGCCTTCCTGGTGCACAGGAATTCACAGAATTCACAGCTAAGAGAAGCAAAGAGAAAAGCCACTGCACTGTCACAATACTAAGCAACAAGCTACCGTTCTAAGTGGAAATGATAATCTTGAAACAAAACGGTCGTCTCATCTGAGAGTTTACTAAAGACAGGAGACTGCTGGGCATAATCAGACAAACACCCTAGATATTAGGAACTCCTATCTCAGAAAGTTCACTAAAAAAACAGATATAATCCAATGTCTGAAATTCCAAAGAGAAGGATGACTTAAGTATGACAATAAATTTTTATGAACGACCATAAACAAAAAGGAGGAAAAAAACAAAAGAAATCAGTAAGTCTTCAAAGGGTTGAAGTGAAATGAGCTCAGTTTTTTAAAGGCCATACATGAAATAAGGAGGAAGAAACAAATAACCAAAGGCAAACGTAAAAACTGGTCCAGTGTTGCAAGGTTTCCAGATAACCATCCATTTAAGGGGCTGTGTACTGAAGATGAGATGACGGCAGGTAAGAACAAAAGGTAACACAAGCATTAAGAAAAGAGTAAGGAAATCTGAAGGACCAAACATATATTAAAAAAGTGGTAAATCATGAAATGTTTTGTTTTTTTTTTAACTACAAGACCAGAAAGGGAGAAAAGTTCACTGCTTATTCAGGGTAAACGTAATATTAACACATGAAAGAAAGAATCTTAGGGAAGACCTCCCGTCTCTCTTTATTTTTGATGTTTTCTCCACCCAGAAGCATTTCCAGTCGTGCAGGGTAGGTGTAATTAAGAAAGGAGAATAAACAAACAACATACCATCAATTCATTGAATGAACAGTTTCATATGGAACTAATCACTAATAACAAACATGTACCCTAATTAGAATCAGGTATCAACTTAGAGAGTTTAACAGGCTTTGAAGAAGGGTAAGGTGCTCAAATGGAAAATGGGTGCAGCTCATCCCTAGCGCCCCCCCCAGTTCAACCCAGCTAGACCCGGGTATTCCAGAGCTGAACCCGGGGTTTGACTATATCAATCAAAGCAAGAAAAGCTGACTAACTTCTCACTACTTTAGGATTATACCAAAATGTTGTCTATTAACGAAATAATTTTTGCTTGCATTCTCGTAACTATAGGGTAGAAGAAAAAAATATTAGAGAGGGCAAACTCAAGTGCCTGAATTATCAAAAACTATACTTTTACCTACAAACCAACAAGCATTTGTCCAAACTTAGACTGAATCTTAGAAACTGGACAAGCTCCCTAAGTAGTACAGATCTAAAGAAACTGGTCCAATAATCCCACCCTAATAATCCTTTTATTTAGATAAACATGAATTACCTTTACATATGGATTACTCTGAAGCAGAAATGCAGGAACTTGCAGGGTAAGGTATTCATTTTCCCTCCAGTTTAACATAAAAGCAACACACTCCTCGGCAATAACTTGACGAAGAGGAATATCTAAAAAGCAAAGAAGAAAGTAGTTGGAGTTACCATCATAACATTAAAAGAACAAAGCATGGGACTTCCCTGGCAGTCCAGTGGTTACGATGCTGTGCTATCACTGCAGAGGGTGCAGGTTTGATCCCTGGTAAGGGAACTGAGATCCTGCAAGCCGTGCAGCGCGGTGTGGCAATCAATCAATCAATAACAAAGCAAATAGTTGCTCAGATTCCAGCTGAACAAACTAAAAACAAGTTACAGATGAAAAAATAGAAAAACACTAATATTTTATACTTTTCTCTATAAAGTTTAAGGTTTCCCAATAATAGGTTGCCACAGTCCCCACTATTAATCAACAAAATTCTCTACTAAGAACACCTTAAGATGCCTAATACTGTACTGTGGAAGTCTAGGAGTTGGTACCCAGCCTCTACAAATTTATAATTTAAATGAGCAGAGAGGGACTTCCCTGGTGGTCCAGTGGTTAAGAATCCGCCTTCCAATGCAAGGGACGCAGGTTCGATCCCTGGTCAGGGAACTAAGGTCCCACATGCCATGGGGGCAACTAAGCCCACATGCCGCAACTACTACTGAGCACGCAGGCCACAACTAGAGAGCCCGCATGCTGCAACTACAGTGCCCACGAGCTCTGGAGCTCACACGCCACAACTAGAGAGAAGCCTACGGGCTGCAACTAAGACCCGACGCAGCCAAAAATAAATAAATAAATGAGCAGAGAAGAACCACACAAACAAAACAAATATATAATGGTATGGTATAAACTTCTAGCTATTTAGAGCACAGAAATAGGTAAACCATGTTTAAAGCTGTAATAAATCCATGTTAATATGTTTTTCATTTTTTAAAATAATTTTTCCTGATTAAAACATGATATTCATAAGAGACAAATCATTCACTCATTCAAAAAATACGTACTATACCTGTAACAATTTTAAATAAAAAGATATGAAGGAAAAAAATCACTCAGAATTGTTTGACCATTATTTCCTTTGAAATAAATAATTATTAAATATACCTTAATATTAAATACATTGCGAATTTTTGTAGCTCAAAGTATATAATACTCAGGTTTTAATGTATTTCAAGAAAGAGGAAAAGAAACCCAATGAATACTAAATAACAATGTTAAAACTTAAAATGGGGAGAGCTATTAAACTTCTTGAGTACCTATATTTTTCAGTCATTCTAAAAAGTCTTTGCCTGTGGCTGTTTATATCTCACTTTATCCCAAAAAGCGACTGGAGACGACAAAAAAGAGGCACAGGAACACACCAAAATTAAGTAAAAATACATTATTTGCATCATCTTCTTAAAGAAGGAGTGAAGATAGAAGTAAATTTAATATCCCAGCGTACAACATGTCACTGCGCGTTATGCACCATACACTTTGCCAAAGGAAGCCCAGACAGCATTTGGCTCCAGGGCGTCCTTTATTCACTGGGCATCTCATTAGTGAGTCCACAATGGTTCTTAAAGAAGAATCAGCATCTAGAGAGTGGGGTTCAAACGTTTTCTTGTTCTTCCTAAGAGTACATCCTTTCCTTCTCATTTCAAACACTGCTTATAACACAAACTATGGGACAAATAGATGCACATTCAGTAAGTTAGGGGAGAGAAGGAAGAATGGAGGGAGGGAGGGAGGGAGGAAAAGGTGAACTTCAAACTACTCAAATGCCAAAAAGGTAGTACAAAGAGACTATAATTACTTGAAGGCATTTCCAACCATTTCAAAGAGTAAAAGCACAGGCTTAAGTTGGCCTGATGAGTTCAAAACACAGTTCCGTCTCTTCCTTCATGACTTCGGCCAAATTCTTTAAACTTAGTTTCTTGATTTACAAAACGGGGATAATTAAATAAGAAGCTACTTCATGCAGCTGCTGCGAGGACTAAAATCAGTTATGCACCTAAGCTCTGAGAAGAATGTCTGACATGTAGTTAGCACTCAATAAATGTTAGGGTTTTTTAAATTCTTTTTGCTTTTCATTTTAGAGAACCAATCTTCAACATTTAAAAAGAAAACACTCTGGGGAATTCCCTGGCAGTCCAATGGTTAGGACTCTGCGCTTTTGCTGCCGAGGGCCCGGGGTTCAATCCCTGGTAGCGGAACTAAGATCCCACAAGCCGCGCAGCATGGCCCGAAAAGAAAAAGGAAAAAAAAAGAGCTTTAGAAAACACTCTGTTGACAGTTAGTATATATTAATGAGATCAATTTTTATTGTGATACTGAAGGGCAATGATGCATTAAAACTCAAAGGTATTCTATCTATAGAGTGCTAAAAAGTTGTAATTTTTTCAAGAAATCACAATGTTATAACAATTAAATTAATTCAAAAGACCCCAGAGGGCCAGCAGCCATTTGTTTGGGTACATTATTAGGACCTTGCTTTATACTTCAATTTTACTATTTATAGTATTAAATGTGTACAGTATGATTGAAATGCTCTAAATATTATTAAATCATGTAAAAGTAAGAAACTGCTTTAACTAAGCAAGATTATATGTAACAGATAATTCTTATGATAAAAAAACTTCTTATGATAAGCTTCTTTTCATAATAAGATCTTTACATTTAGAACTGGACAGTCAAAATCTGTTCCTAAAGTGACCACAGTGACTTCCTGACCCACAGGCAATCATGCTGAGGGCTGTCTATGGCAGCTATGAGGAAATAAACCTTCAACATGCAGCTTCAAGAACATTTTGAATCTTTTAACATAGTATCTTAAAATTGCAATATGGTTTTTGTAGTGTGTTGAATGCTGTCCCCTCAAAATTCATGTACACCTGAAACCTCAGAAGGTGATCTTACTTGGAAACAGAGTCTTTGCAGATGTGGTTAGTTAAAATGAGGTCATACTGAATTAGGGTAGACCCTAAATCCAATGACTGGTGCCCTTACAAGAGGAGAAGACATGGACACACACACACACACACACACAGAAGGCCACATGAAACAGGTAAAGACTGGAGTGATGCAGCTGCAAGCCCAGGAACACCAAAGGCTGCTGGGAGCCACCAGAGGCTAGGTAGAAGCAAGGAAGCATCCTTCTCTAGAGCCTTCAAAGGGAGTGTAGGCCTGCAGACCCCTTGATTTCAGACATCTCATCTCCAAAACCATGAAAAAATTAATTTCTGCAGCAATAAAGACCCAAAGCAGCCAAAAATAAATAAATAAATTTTAAATAAATAAATTTCTGTTACTTATTTATGGCAATCCTAGGAAATTAATAATTTCCTACATTTTCCCCAATGTTTTCAAGTGAACTCCACATCTGAATTGTTTTAAAAGACAAATAATTTTTTCATAGATGGTAAAAAGTCCAGTAAATATTCTTTTAGAATATTCCCCACAGTTAACTTGAGTACTAAATTTCTGAAATTTGGCTTTGTGAAAAAGTCTTACCAGGAAGCCTCATTTCCAGATATCCTCGCACCCTACTAATAAGATCAGAAGGCGGTCTCTCTCCAGATTGCCCTGTTCCAGCTTCATGTGTATGAATATCCAAAAGCAGCATCTCATTCAGCATGACCTGACGAAGTTTTGGTGAGAATTCTGTCACCAACTCCAAACAAGCAGCAAATAGCTGTTTAGCATGGGTAAAGTCCTATAAAAAGAAACAGCAGAATAGCCTGGATCACCTTTCCTCTGGAGTCAAAAAATATGTCTTTAAAAGTACAGAACAAAGAGAAGAATTAATTTAAATGGTTAACACAGGTTATCTTGGGGAGTGAGGCTACACTATCATCTTTTTATCATCTCTGCATTGTTGATTTATTCCAATAAATACTTAATTCTTTTGTAAATTTTTTTTTTTTTTTTTGGCTGCACCACACGGCATGCAGGATCTTAGTTCCTCAAACAGGGATTGAACCCGTGCCCCCTGCAGTGGAAGCACAGAGTCCTGACCACTGAACCGCCAGGGAATTACCTGTAATTTTTAAAAAACATCCAATAAACAATCAATATAATATACATGCTATATTACTAAACAAGTTTTACATAAATTATAAAATAACAAAACTAGGGGACTTCCTTGGCAGTCCAGGGGTTAAGACCCCACGCTTCCACTGCAGGGGGCACAGGTTCAATCCCTGGTCTGGGAACTAAGATCCTACATGCCACACAGCGTGGCCAAAAAATAAATAAATAAAATAACAAAACTAGAAGTTTTATATAAATATTACATACATATATCATACAGGTATAAAATTCCATGATTAAACACCCTTCTCCCCCTAAGATAGTCAGAATTAGACCTTACCCCCTTCAACAAGGTTCCACATTCCAAAATTTTGCACACAACCCTATTAGCCTATATAATTGACTAATAAATAAATCAAATCAGCTATGATCTAAGCCCTTTCCTACACATCTCTTTCTAATTTTTCCAAAGAGTAGCCTTCGCTTACTCTCTCCACATGATTCTTTCACTCGTACAATGTGGCTTCTATCCCCCACATCATGAAAAAGAAATAGCTCTTACTAAACAAAGATCTTCTAATGGCACAATCTACTCAATACCTTTCAGTTACCTTACTGCACTTAGGGGCTGCAACCCAGTGCTGTCCATTCCCTTTTCTTGACAACCTCTATCCCCTTAGCTATTATGACCCCACAAGTCTGGTCTTCATACCAGACTTTCTCACGCCACTCTTTTTGGACCTGTGCTGGATCCCCTAGGTTCTGAATATTCTCCCAGGGTGATCTTTGATGATTCCCAAATCTGTATTTCCATCCCAGACTACTTCACAAATAGATCCTTATGTAAAATCTACAGAAGTAATTTTAAGGATTTTTGGTTTTGTTTTCTTTAGCTTGGAATACAATCTTTACTAACTGAACCCTAAATACAAAAGAACTATTCATGCTCTCTAATTTTTTAAAAGACATAGAGTAGTAGCCATATGTCCAAGACCATTTTCGTATAGCTATGAGGGTAAAAGGAGAAAGAATAAACCAAAATGCCTTTTCAAATATCCTCCTAGGCCTACAACTATGATTTTAAGATCAGGAAAACACAACTGATTCTGATTCCTGGCTTCATGCTAAATTTACAAAGCATATTCTTAACCAGACGTCAATGTATGCTTTTACTCACCTTAACAGTACTGCAGTGTAAACCTTTGGCCATTAGAATGTAAACCAAATCTCTTGTTAAATTGTCTTTGATTCCCAGGATAACACCACTATAGACAGAAGGTATTTCCCACTAGAAGAAATAAAGATCCACAAATACACACACATGAAACCAAATCTAGATAAGAACCTTTCAGTAATAGTCAACCCCATTTAAAAAATCATTCAAAAATCATTTTTGAAAGAGAAAGGAAAATGACAGCTGTATTGAAATGCTAATCAAAATGAACATAATCACTACAATGAGCTAGTAATAAATAATTAAATGGATTGGAACTTTCTGAAGAATAGACTATAGAAATAAAGAAGGAAAAAAAATTCTAGGAGTTTAATACGTATTAACTCATATGATCCTCCCAACAGTATTACGTAGGTACTATTATCTCCATTTCACAGATGGGAAAACAGAGACACACAGCAGTCAAATAACTTGCCGAAGACTATACAGCTAGTTAAGTAGAGAGCTGGCATTCAAACTCAGGCAGTTAGTACCAGAACTCCCGCTCTTAACTATTATGCTATATACTTCCTCTCTATATAAATGAACACAAATAACAATGTCAATGCTAAGAAGCCCAACTAAGGTTCAGACCAATTTTTCATTTCACTGCACTTTTACGTTCAAACCCCACAAAATATACAGCAATTCTTGCTTCTTTTTATTACATATTCAGCAGAGGAGGAGTATGCAGTTAAATTAGAAGCACTACCACAGTACTTTAATTTCTCCTGTATCTGTGGACTGCTTCCCTTGTATCTCAAGCTACATTCCACTGAAATGTTTAAAAAGCTATTTTCATTTGCACTTTCCACACGGGAAAACTTAAATTGACAACTTCAGAAACATTAGCTTGGCATTTTAAAAAGAATATCTAAAGCCAAAAATGTTCTAAAAGAAGTTTTAATGAAGTGGTTCTAAACTGTAGGCTTTAGACTTCAAGAAGATAGGAAAAAACTAAACCAAAAATACTCTGTAAGCACACAGCAAGTATTAGCTCCAGACTGCATAAATATTATACCTTACACACATATTAACAGCTATACTGAAAATGCATGTAGGTGTTATGACAACAAATGAAATATAAACTCATTTTTTGTTGTTACTGATTTAATAGTGTCGAATTAATAACCTTTTTTGGATATTTCAAATTTTCTCTGTCAATGGATGTTCAAAGTGCAATTACTCTCATGTGCAGGTACTTCACATTGTTGATGAATTGTTGACAAATAAAGGGGGTTCTTATTCCCAAAAAGGTCAGGGAACAGCTCTTCTATGAAATTACATCAGAAAACAAGGGTAATTTTCTTATCTGTTCTTTTTTTTTTCCTGGCTGCATTGGGTCTTCTTGCTGCGCGCAGGCTTTCTCTAGTTGTGGTGAGCGGGGGCTACTCTTCGTTGTGGTGCGTGGGCTTCTCATTGCGGTGGCTTCTCTTGTTGCAGAGCACGGGCTCTAGGCACGCAGGCTCAGTAGTTGTGGCTTGTGGGCTCTAGAGCACAGGCTCAGTAGTTGTGGCGCACGGGCTTAGCTGCTCTGTGGCATGTGGGATCTTCCTGGACCAGGGATCAAACCCATGTCCCCTGAATTGGCGGGTGGATTCTTAACCACTGCACCACCAGGGAAGTCCCTTCTTATCTGCGCTTAAGAGAGGGTCTTCTTACCTTATTAGACACTGTCCAGAATTGGCGCTCTGAAGTCATACCATGTAATTCAATTAAAATCTGTCGAATCCTCCAGGGATCTACTGACAATATCAGCTGATGCTCCAACTGGCCAATGTTGACACTTGCTGAGGCTAAGAAAGGAAGGAGAGGTTTCCATTTAAATAATGATTTGATTCAAAGGTATACATAATCCTATAAATACGAGAATGGTAATTTACTGAGAGAAATTGTGCATGTTCATAAGTATTGTAAGTTAAAAGCATCTCTCATCTTGAAAACTTATTTATGCAACTTAATGCAAATTATGTTTTAACTTCACTCTCATGTAGAAAGCCTAACACAATTTTTATTATGTCTTCATTTAATAAATGAATGCATTTAACAAAGATAATGAAAATAAAAACATAAAAATCAGTAGCTGGTACATGGAAAGAATTATGTGGGATATATGGAAAAATTTAACTTATATAGACAGTCTCCTACTTTGGAACATACTGTGTTATTTAAAAGCACATATAAAACGTTTTGAGCAATAAACATTAAGAATGTGTTTTCTGAAGGGGAGAATGAGGAGGTGGAGGCACTGCCTTCCCCAGAAAACCAAGAATTGATCATTAAAATCCCTCACTACAACTCGGCTTTCAGATATAGTCTTCAATAATGCATTTCCAGCATTTTATCTGTGTTAATATTATTCTTTCCCTTTACACCTGGACTGTTAACGCAGTTTAAATCTAATGAGGGTCAAAGCAGCTAAAAGTTCGTTCAGCCAGCTGAATTCTGTCTCCCCTATATTAAATGTTGAAGCTTGTATTTCTCATTAATGAGCAGCACTATATTTTCTACTTATATTTACAAAATAAGAGAAAAAAATGGAAGAAAATCATCAAATAAATAAGGCAAAAATGGCAATGGTGCCAAAGCTGAATGTTTAGCTAGAAGACAGTATCACGATGATGATATACAGGCTGAAACGCATGCAAGCCTGTACCTTTTATCGTTCTCAACCGCTCCCCTCCCCTCCTGTTTTTTACCTTCAAGAACACAGCAGCAGAGTTACGTGGGTCTACTCCCACAGCTAAAATCTTTTATGTATCTAGGCCTATATCTCCGTGAATCAGAGACTCAGCAGAGTCCCAAGACTTAACTGCTTAGACAGAAATATGACTACAAAAGACAGGTAAATGTCTATTAATTACCAGCATTCGTGTAATCTGAAACAAATTAAGAGGATATCCTAAATATACTGAGGGGCAGAATGTGCCAACATTTTAGCTAGCAGAGCTAACCTGGGATATCATAAAATGAAGTTACTGGTTTAATGCACAGATTTACTCTAGGGGATCTCTTCCTCATCTGATCAACCAGTAGCTTTCGTTCTTCATCTTTCAACAATGTAATGAAAAGCTCATGTGAAGAAATCATGAAAACATACTGCAGGTCTTCCAACCCCAGACACACATTCCTAGATCAGTAAGAAATATTATAAAACAAAAAAGTGTATAATTTTAGTTTGGGGAAAACAATCATATTAACCAATTTTTATTAATAAACTGTTTAAAAAACCACCATTCAATAACTGCACAACAATCATTTGAAACAGCTTTTAAAATTTCTTTTTGGTCCTTATTTAAAGTTTGTGATTTCAATGCTACAATATACAAAAGGAGTAACTGACAGAATCCTAAGTTTTATGTGGTTACACGAATCCAAACCATAACTGTTCTTAAATACCAATTACTGCCTGGTTATAAGATAGGCAGGGCAAATCCAAAACGATAAGGAATAAAAGATATTTTTCTCACAGGACTAAGTTCAAAATTAAGAAAAAGAAAAGAAAGGCACTTACTTTAGAAAAGCAGCCATGTTTCCTTTCAAAGAATCTGAAGCTTTTTCTAAATTTATTGATCTTGAACATACCTAGGAATTTGAGTAATTTTTATTTGAATATGGGTACTTTAAAATAATTATACTACAGTCTGAAAAGTTTAGATTTAAAAACAACTGAATTTTCCTTTCAAACATTATCAGTCAGAGATCTGGTTAAGAAATTTAAGAGATGAGACCAAAGAATATGCAGTAAAGAATAATCCATATAGCATACGAAGAAGTCCTGCCGAAATTTACAAAGTACGTTGCCAAATTAAATGGAGTGATAACTTTAAGAATCAGTAGTTCCTGTCAGAAAAGTGAGAAAAGGGTCATCTTAGATAGTTGAAAAGAATGATCGATAATAGTTAAAGTATATAGAACCAATGGTTAAGAAGATAACCAAGGTTTAAAAACTAAACAATGAAAATAAAGAGTAACAGAAACCAACTATGAAAATATTAGTTATCTAAAAATAATATCCTTATAATATTATTCTGAGTTTATTAGGTTTCCTCCCCACATATTATTTACAAGAAGTCAAAAAGAATATATTAGTATAAAAGCTCCCTAACCTTAAGAAATTGTCAAATATTCTCTAATATGTTGACACAAAAATTAAATTATATAATGTTTATAGCAGCATTATTCATAAGAGCTAAAAAGTGTAAACAACCCTAAAGCCCATCACCTGATGAATGAACACTCAAAACAGACACTGAAGAGCATATCCAGTCAATGGGATACTATTCAGCTATAAAAAAGAATGAAGTACTGATACACACTCCAACATGGATCAAATTTTTCAGGTTTTCAACATTAAGTGAAAGAAGTCAGTTATTTATATGACATGTCCAGAACAGGCAAATCTACAGAGACAAAAAGTAGATTAATAGTTGCCTAGGGTTGAAGAGATTGAGGGAAAATGGGAAATGACTGCTAATGGATAAGAAGTTTTGTTGCAGATGGGCAGAGAGGAATGAAATGTTGTCAAGCTGGCTGAGGTGATGGCTGCACAACTCCATGAACATACTAAAAACCACTGAACTGTACATTTTAAATGGGTGAATTGTATGGTATGCGAATTACATCCCAATGAAGCTATTAAAAGAAAAAAAAGAATAATAGTATTTTTAATTACCATGCTCAGAAACAGTATCTTGAAGGTACTTTGCTCAGATGAACAGTTTACGCTATCAGTATATAACACATCTGAGCATCTTGGAGTACGTACGACATATTTACATTCTAATAATTTTGCCCCACTGTATGCATAAATTAAGTTTGCTACCATATGTAAGATCTTATGATAAATAATATTTTAGTGTACTTTCATGAGATTGTTTATTCAAATATAGAGATGCATTGTATACGTGTCGTCATGTGTTCGGGAATATGTGGTAACTCCTGATAAGCAACGTAACAAAGATGTTATGTGAATTCACCTCAACTTTTTAAAACTGAAAAATATGAAATAGGTGACATCTCTACGATGCTATAAACACTGAAAAGATAACTAAAAACATTAATATTAATCAACTTAAAAATTTAGATAAAGTGGACAAATTCTTAGAAAAGAACTTCTCAAAACTAATCAAGAAAAAAGAACAGCAGATGAAATCACTGAAACTGAATCAATGCCAAAGATCTTCCCCCCAAAAAAATCTCCAGGCCCAAATACATCATTGGTAAATTTTACCAAACACTGAAAAAAAGCAATGAGTCCATTTTCTTTTCCAGGCAAAAAGAAATGATCCACACCTCAATTTATTTATGAGGCACACATGACCTTAGTAACAAAATCAAAGACAGGACAAGAAAGAAAAAAAACTGATGCATCAATCTCACACACGAATGTAAAAAAATCTTAAAGTATTAGCAAGCCAAATCCAGCAATATATATTAAAAACAATCATAACATGACCTAAAACTAATACAATGTTCCATGTCAATTATATCTCAGTTTAAAAAAAAGATCACAACCTAGTTGGGTTTATCCAGACAAGGTACTTCAACACTTAAAAATTAATATACTTCACTACATTAACCAATTAGAAGAGAAAAATTACGTGCTTATCATAATAGACACAGAAAAAGCATTTAATAAAATCTAAAAATAATTCATGATTTTTTTAAAATAAGCGCCTTCAGTGAATTAAGGATAAACAGAAACTTCCTTAATCAGATACGGAGTAACGATAAGAAAAACCTATAATAAACATCATTCTAAACGGTAAAAGAGTACAAGCTTTTGAGACTAAGAATGAGACCAGGAAGCCCATCAGAGCCCTTTCTACCAAACATTGTACTGGAGATCATTGTCAGCACAGTAAGAACAAGTACACAGAAATAAAAATGAAAAGGCCAGAAAATGAAGAAAACAAAATGCATTATTTACAGATAAAGACTATTTAGAAAAACAAATGAACCTACAGATAAACAGAATTTTTAAAAGTTTAGCAAAGTAGCTGGAAACGAAATCATATACAGAGTTCAACTATACCTCTATACCAATGCATAAACTATTTTCAAGTTCATAAAAAAAATAAAATAAAAAGACTTCTATGGAAAAATTATAAAGCTTTAAAGGGCATTAAAGAACGTCTAAATAAATCAAAACCTATACCAGCTCACAGATTACAACACTCAATATTGTAAAGATACTAATTTTTCACAAATTGACTTTTAAAGGTAACGTAGTTCCAAACAAAAATCCAACAGGCTTATTTGTGAAACTTGACAATGAGTCAACTGTCTACAAGAAAACGCAAAAAGACAAGCATAACCAGCACAACTTTGAAAAACAAGGTATGTACTTCAGATGGTATCAAGACAGGGATACTGATGTATGGGTAAACAAACAGAAAAGTGGTACAGAACACAGCCCAGAGACAGGCCCACACACGTATGGATACTTGGCATTCAAGAGAGGTAGCACTGGAGATTGGCAGAAAAAAGATGGAACTTACAATAAATGGTACTGGAACAAGTGAGGAAAAAAATGACATCAGACCCCCTACTTCATGTTAATACACAAAAATCAATCATAGGTGGATTAAAGACCTAAATGTGAAAAGAAGGCTAAGCTCTAGAGCTTTTAGAAGGTAAAATATAGGACAATTTTCACGACTACAGGATATGAAAAGCTTTCTTGAACAAGACACAGAAATCCATTAATCTTTTCCTTTATGGAAAAGATTGATAAATTTTATTATATTAAAATTAAGAACTTTTAAAATAATAAAAAGTTAAAAGAGAAGTGAAACGCAGAAAAGATACCTGCAGTATTTAAAACTAGTAAAGGACAGAATATATAAAAAATTCCTGCAAAAGAAAAAAAAAGACAATTCAACAGAAAAATTAGGCATACCACTTGGAATGGGTACCTCAAAAGACAAAATCTAGGGCTTCCCTGGTGGCGCAGTGGTTGAGAGTCCGCCTGCCGATGCAGGGGACACGGGTTCGTGCCCCGGTCCGGGAAGATCCTACATGCCACAGAGCGGCTGGGCCCGTGAGCCATGGCCACTGAGCCTGCGTGTCCCGAGCCTGTGCTCCGCAACGGGAGAGGCCACAACAGTGAGAGGCCCGCGTACCGCAAAAAAAAAAAGAAAAAGACAAAATCTGTATGTGCAAAAAATAAATGAAAAGCTGCTAAATTCCTCAGTAATAAAGGAAATGGATGTTAAAACCTCAATGAGATACCATTATACCATGAACCTGGCAGGAAATCTGACAATACCAAGTGCTGACAAAGATCCTGACCAACAAGAACCCTCCTGCATGCTAGTGGCAAAAACACTTGGAAATTATATAGTAATATTGCAGATAAACCTTCTCCAGGAATGTAACAGATAAATCGTATGTGGGTGCACCAGGATATGTGTACAATATTTTCCAAGAAGCACAACAGCCACAAATTGTAAATAACACAAATGTCCATCATCTTAAGAATAAATAAATTGTGACATGGTCATATAATGTTGTAACACCTTACAGCAATGGAAAAAAAAAAAAACTGCACTTGCATACAACTTGAAAAAACATCTCAAGAATGTTCACTGAGAGACAAAGAATTTATTTTGTATGATTTCATTTATGTAAAGTTCGAAACAGGCAAATTAAAGAATATTCTTTAAGGGTACATACAAAGGTGATACAACTGTAATGAAAAGCAAGGAAATGATTATCACAAAACACAGGACAGTGGTTTCCTCAAGGAGAGGCAGAGAGGGTTTGGTAAGGAGCATAAGAAGGACTTCTAAAGCACTGGCAGTGTTGTATGTTTAGAACTAAATGGTACTAATTGTACTCTATGCACTCCTCTCAAGGTTTATTACATTAAGACTATAAAGAAAGAGAAAGATCCAGTAGAAACACAGATTCTGGAGCTCACATGAGAGGCAAGAAGTATGATCCAAGGGTTTTTAGTAAGCAGGTGATTGAGGTTTTGGATGAGAATAAAAAGTGATATGAGAAGTTGAGTGAGCCAAGGACAAAACTTTCGTAAATAAAAACATTAAAGGGAGAGCAAAAGAGAAGTCAATGGAGGACTATGGAAAACCCAGTGATGAAGGAGAACAGGGTTGGAGACCGTGGTCTATCAGTAGAAACAACTATCAGCCAGAGAGGCAAGTCAGACGAAGACAGAAAAGAGGGCACTGGATTTGGTAGCTAAGAGATCATTGGTAAACTTAAAGCAAAATTATAAATCAAAAGGGGAAAAAACGTCTTACCTCAAGAAGAAAGTCTATTTTCTCTTTATTAGGTCTAAGAAATAGCTGGTTAAATTGAACACCAATCGCTCTACCTTCCAATATATCACGTACTGTGTTACAGGCACAGACTTTAAAACAGATTTCATCTAGAGCTTCATTTCTGTAGAATACAAAAGCAGATACACTAATTTTTTTTAATAAAAAGGAATATATTGCAAAACTAAAATCACAAGAATAAGCCATTTACTCTTGAGAGGTAAGATCTTACGATATTCCGGCACGTTAGTAAATACCTAAGTCATGGGAAGGTCTTGAATTTGTCAAGGGACAATTTAGCTATACAGATTAGGTAACAGAATCAAATTCTGCTATGTAAATTTTTTTCCCCAAGCACTTTTAAAATGGATTAGATGAACATTAAAGTGGCTCCTCTGGCCATGTTAACTTCCCATATACTAAAAAAAAGTGAAAGTATTGTGTCAGACATACAGGTAGTTTGGAGGGATGTTTTTGGTAAATCTGAAATGCACTTACCCTTTTATTCAAAAATCAAAAAGTAATTCACTTCCTTACCCCTGTTGAGCTTTCTGAAAGAGCTCTCTTAGGACTGATTGCCGGAACTGCACAGGTAAACTGAAGGTTAAATTGTCTTCAGCGAAAATCTTTGTTACCTCCTAGAACAGAGACACAAAATTGCATCCATTTCAAAAATCATGAAAGAATCTTTCCAAAAAAAAATTTTTTAATAAAATTTTAAAAGTCTTTCTATAATAGAAATTACACAGTGAAGAAAATCATTAAAACACCTTGCTAGGAAAAAAAAAAAATCTTGCTAGGAAAATCTTTTCTTTCTAAAATTTTAAAATTACGTTACAAATAGCACCCCCTCACCCTTTTTCAAAACTGAAGATCAAAAGTGAGAGGTGAGAGAAGAATCAATGAATAAGAAGTAATTCAGCTATGTTATTAGAGAGAAAGTTTTTAAATTCTTCTCATCCACTTTAAATATGGGTTCAGGGACTTCCCTGGCGGTCCAGCGGTTAAGACTTTGGGCTTCCACTACAGGGGGACTAAAATCCCACAGGCCGCGCAGTGCAGCCAAAAAAAAGGGGAGGGGTTCATACAACAAACTTTTTAAAACACTAAAATAATTAATTAAAAATAATTCATCTAAATATAACATGTTAAGAAACTATTCTAATCAATTTAAATGGTTTAACATATATTATTTAGTGAATTACAGAAACATCCACATTATTAGAGTCTTTTTCTGTTCTTTATCAACTCTTTATCTCGATAGTGTGGGGATTTCTTGAAACAGCTAAAGCTACTCAGCTCTACCACAAAAGCACTGACAAAAATGGCTTCAAAATTATAAAGCAACCACTGTTTCACCTCCATAGCAAAACACAGGCTACACAGGGGAAAGTAAGCCACTTCCTAAATGTGAGAAGACATATTTGTTACAACTGTTCAATAACTACTTCATCAGAACAAAACAAAAATATATAGTTAATACAAACAGAATCTTATTCCAAAAAAACAAAAAAGGTAAACATGATTTCTAAGATACTCCTGCATATATAACTGAAGTGATAAATTTCAGAGGTGCAACAAAATTGCTCTTTCCCCTTTCCTAGCTACCCATTACACTACTTTCTGAGTGACACATTTTGGCACTTTATTGTATTCACAGTAATATGTGCCTATTTATGACTAACATTTCCAAGGTCTTCTTTGCACAGGTCTTACCATTCCAGGGACCGTTATAAAGATTCTATATCTTATCATAATTGATCCCCACCCTCCATAAGCCTGTACTAGGAATACGTAACTGAAAGATCTCTAGTGTTTAATAACTTCATCTGTATCTGAAATCTATCTTCAAGAAAGTTTAACTTTCTTCCCTAGGGCAAAGCAGAATTTGCAAAAAAGAGGCCAGAGGGAGGGAGAGGAAGTACGTATCCCCTCTCTTCTATTTTCCCTGAAAAAAAATAAACTCTAGTTGAGAAGACTGAACTAAAAACCTAGGCTAAAAGTCCGTTTGGAGACACAAAACTGAAGGTATGCTATAGCTTTGTCATTTCATAATTTCTGTTTTGAATTAAATAACATGAAGGCACTGTTCACTTCCTAGAATGAAGGCTTTCCAAAAAAGATTTTAAAAGTACAAATTCTAATTCCCAGTGATTTTCATTACAAAACTAAAGATATATACACAGAGGGTGCAATAAAAATCTCAACAGACTAATTTAAGCCCTTTTCATGATTAAAACTGACATGATGACCAGACTCCCTGGCAAAATGGGCTATGTAATACACTACCCAAACCTACCAAAACCACTCTGCTCACTTTCTCCTTCAGTCTTAATGTTTGCAGTGGCTAATAAGGCAGGGTTACAAGGCCATACTTTCAGATCAGACACAAGACTTTAGGCTCCATAAAACTGAAAGTTCTCTACCTGTAATTTTAAAAGTTCTACCTACAGAGTTTCTTACAGAATGCACTTAAAATGGGCAAATTCTATACCTTCAAGAAAGGAGAATATCAATGAGTCAACATCTGTCCAGTGCTTTGCCTTAGAGTTTATAAACTATAACTTCTCATTTGATTCTCATAAGAAGCTTAATTATTAAAACTATTTTACAGGCCAATCTGACAGTCTGGCTTGCCCTAAACGGCACAACTGTAAATGGTGTGTCAGGATATGAACTCAGCTGTCTGGATTCCAGTGCTTTTCGATTACACTATTGTATCCCATCACACATCTTACCTGATAGTTGCCAGATCTCAAACAAATATGGACTTGACTATATGGAGTCAATTGCTGAGATGCACTATCAGAAGAAGGTACAAGAACACCACACGCTTGACAATAGCCAGCTAACCGCTTCTCATCTATGGTACAATGAAGAGATAATGAACCTATCTGTAAAGTAAGAGGTATATATCATTATTCATCAGTGTAATAGAAACAATAGTCTAGCACCCATTTAGTACATTTTAACAGTACAAGAAAATGCTAATGGAAAATTCAGGGCTGGAGGAACCATAAAAAATTAAAAGGTTTACAGCAGGGGTCAGCAAAATATTGCTCACAGGCCAAATCCAGCCCATGGCTTGTTTTTATAGATTTCTTGACCTAAGAACAATTCTTAGGGTTGTAAAGGGGGGGAAAAAAACCATAACAACAAATTAGACTATACCACAGAAACTGTATATGGCCCACAAAGCCTAAAATATCTATTATTTAGCCCTTTACAAAAAAGTTTGCTGACTCGTGGTTTAGAGTTTTCAGGCCAACGTAACGGTAGACATTATTATTGCTCTATGTAAGTATGAAAATTAAGATACTAACAAAGAGTGAACACTGTTAAAAACGAGCTTAAAATATTTTAAAATACATATACTTGCAGAGATTTAAAGGGGGCAGCAAAGAAAACTCAATCTTCACTCAAGTGGAATAAACAGAAATGCTTCCACCAAAACAGAAAAAAATTTTTTTAAGAGACACACTTTTTTAAAAAATTAAAGTTTTAAACTACTATACCTGAAATGCCATCAAATTAGAAATCTGATGAGTGCCCCAGGCAAAGTAAAATGGGGATTCCCAATAAAGTAAATCTCTAGTACATTTAATCAATGTCTCTGGTGAAGAAAGGAAAGATTGAAGTGGCAATTTTTCTGGGCACCAGGCATACAGAAACCTAGTTATATACTTTAAAATTAAGTTTTCTGAATCACAAAAAGAAAAATGCAAACAACAAACACATGAAAATGTTTACCCTACTAGGAACCAAGGAAATGCAAATTTTTTAAAGATATTCTAGATCACATCAAATTAGCAATTTAAAAAAATTCACTGCTGATTGGAGTGCCTTCGGAGAAATGTACCTAGCAAGCAATTTGGCTTTACATATTACATCCTTTAAAAAAAATAATGACCATTGACATGGTAATTCTACTTGCAGGAATTTAACTTGAAAGTATCTAAAGTCCAAACAAAAATTTATGCTTGGAGATATAAATTTTGCAACTTTATAATAAAAACAGTAAACAATCCAAATGCCCAAACATTAGGAAAATGAAATCACAGCACAACTATATAACAGAATACATTTAAAATATCTATTCAAATATTTAAGCAAGATACAAAATAGTATATTACAGCATGAGCTTAACTGTATAAAAACATAAAGAATAAAAACTGGAAAAAAATAAGCTAAAACCACAAAAGGGGTATTACAGATTTTTTTTGATGTTTTCACTACTTTTTTGAACTACCAAATTTACAACAATGAACACTTACTGGGTTTTTTTATCATCAGAAAAATTCAAGCCAAAAAACATATAGATGTTTTAAAGAACTGAAAATCATATGCCTGTTATGACTGTATTTACCTCTGCAATTAGTTCTTTGGTTCTAAAAAATTTTTCTCTGGCATTTTCATAGACAGCTGGATTTGTAGAGCCTTGCTGGAAGTATGCTGCACCCAAATCATAACACACCTAAAATGGTAATGAATACCAATTTGCTCAGTAATTTTTCATGAACTTAAGAGCTGACAAAACTCAAAGGCAAAACACAGGTACACATACAGCCAAAAAGAAAAAACCATTTCAACGAGCAGTGAAACAATCAATGTTCTTAGTCACGAGCAACAGAAGTCAACTGACTGAATTAAGCAGAAAACAGATTTACCCTCAGGATGTCAGGTGGCCTACAGATTTATTGGGAAAGCCAAAGAATCAGGCTTGGAAAACAAACAGGGGAAGGGAAGCAAGCAGCCAGAACAAGAACCAAAACTGATGCAGTGAAACACCACTGCAGCCACCTCAACACTAGACTCCACAGATCATGTCACCTGCAGCCACCAGCACTAGACACTGAGAGCAGCAGCTCCACTTCTGCCAGGGCTGCCCCTGGAAACTAGATTTTACTGTCACTGTTGCTCTTGGCCCACCAGCACAATGGATTATCTACCCTCTCCACTTCACTGACTTATGAGCTAGCTCCTAATTCAGTCTAAACTAAATGTATCTGTCTGTCACACCTATGTGACACACTTGCCCTGGAGCAGGATAAGGGCTAGAGAATGCTAGTGTCTGGAGTTTTCAGTTTTATTATAGGAAACAGGCTCTGCCTCCCATCAAGTCTCAGAAGGTACGGGGTTCTTCTAACATAGAATAGGGGGACAGCCACCGGGGTGTCTCTCCAAAAGGGACAGAAGGGGCAAATGTCTACTATCACAGAACTGGCCAGAATAAAATATTGAGAAGTTTGAATTAATGACTATAAAACGATAGTGCATTTCCAGTTGTCCTTTTCTAATAGAACTTGTATATTTTTCCAAGAACGTTCATAAATTGATACCTAGATTTACTGAATGCAGAACTCAAAGACTGAGTTCGACTTGGCCATTTTATGAACAAGAACACTAAGGTCCAGAAAGTAACATCTCTGCTAAAGAGCATATAACCAAACACTGGCAGAGCCCAGACTTAAAGCCAGATCTCTAGGTTCCTAATACTCTATCTCAAATTTACTCTACACAAGGCTGACTGATCTGTCTTCTCAATATGACTTTCTTAAAAAGCCTTCAAATTATTCCCCCAGGTAAGAGAAAGTTCAAACCCCAAGGCCTGATCTTCAAGGGTCTCAGAATCTGGACTAATTTCTCTCTCCAAACCTCTCTATTCTCCTCTGTTTCAATCACACCAGTTTTCTCAATTCCCCATTCACATCAGATCTACAAATGAACTTCATTCCACACCCCGTATTTCCATTTACACCAAACCAACCTTAGCCAACAGATACTCATTCCCCCTCTGAACTCCTAAGCTGTAATAGTCTCTGGTATTCATGACTGATCTACTCTTTACTGATATGCATTACAGATGCTATTCTGCCCTGTTCAACAAATCAAAATTAATTCTTCTCAGCCTCTAGAATACTGCTTTGCACTATTTAATCCACATTTAATGTTGGGCTGATTTTCATTCTAGAGCGCTTCCTTCCATCTAGGGTAAAAGAGTGCTAAAGCAATTTTTAAAAATAGTATGTGTGTGTATACATAATAGAGAAAGATTTAAACACACATAAACACACATACATATGCATACATATTATAGTTACATATAATTTCCCTTTCCAGGCAGAGTACAAGATACCAAAAAGATACTTTCAAGTATAATTATACTGACTAGCCATTAAAACGACTTTAAATTCTACAGTTAAGATGTGGTCAATAGATGAAAACAAAACAAAAAAAACCAAATCTGCTAATGAAGCTGCCCTGAAGGACAGTAATACTTATGGTTTAACTAAGGAAAAATTGAAGATTTTTCTTTTGAGTCAGGTAAATTTTAGTAACATAAAGACTGCAAATGCACTTTAAACATTAACATGCCAGGAAATGAGTATTAGTACTAATTTGCTATTCAAAAAACAGAAATTATGGCTCAGCTATGTAATTAAAAGAATATTTGATAGGGTTTACCTAGCACATTTATGTAAGAGTTCTGTTTTTTCAGGTCATATCATCCACTACATTGTGAAAATCAGACATGTTACCAAGACTTTTAAACAGACTCAGTGAGTATAAGATATGACAGTACCAGAAACCTCCTCCATGGAAGTTTAATTGACCATTTAAAGTGGTTGCCAACTGTCAATGCCTCTTGACTCCTCCTCCTACTGTACAAGACTCCATCTTAACAAGTCTTGAAAAGGGATTATTTTCACCTCCAGAACCAGCTAATCTGAAAAGGTACCTCCAAACCCTTTAAAGTCAGAGCTATTTCTGCCATTTCAGGATTGGGAAATAGTGATTAAAGAAGTCATGCCAACTCACACAATGAACATAAAATGTAAAAAGAACACAGAATGTAAAAGGCTAGTGGCCCTCTCTAGGCAATCATCAAATATTTTAAAATTTTTATTATACTCAAGAGTCTGTGCTGGAAAGTGAGAAAGAGGCAAATATATTTAAAAAAGAGACCTCAAAGAGTTTACAATCCAGCAGGGAAAAAGAAGACATCAATACAAAAAATATCTAACAACAAACAACAACTGAAAGCAACAAAGGAATTACAGCACAGAGTTACAGAAAGCAGGCAACCTTAAGATCTTTGAAAAACTAGGTGTTTCTCTAGTAGCCCACATTTTTCAAAGTCTAGTACAATATTAGTTTTGTTTTGTTTTTTTGGTAGGATTAGATTTCTAATAATATGAATGAACTGTAAATTAGTTACATATTCATGCATTGTCAGTCTCCTAAATACAACTGGGAAACCAGTTCAGAGACAAAAGATCAAATGAAATTTTCCTTGCATTTCTTTTAGAAAAATTTCAAGTGAGGTCTTATAAAATTCACAAATTAAATGCAATGCGAAGTCTTAATAGCATCTGAAGTCAAAATCAAAGGGACAAGGGCAGAAATAAATTCTAATTAAAAATAAGATTTTCCAAAAATTTGCCATGCGTTGATTAAATACTGAAATAAATACCTGGCACTGCATCTCCTCGGTTTTGATTTTCAATCCAACAGTGGAACTCTCAGTCTCTCCATTTACCACGCCTGGCTCCATGGCCAATAAATCTAGCGTTCTCATCGTGTGGACATAAAGATCCTTGTTTAATTTAAGGGCTGCCTCTAGTACCAAGACAGAATCAGAAGCTTGTTCTTTTAGCTACAAAAGTTCAATAAACAAACTATTAAAATACAAAAATGGCAGCACTGGACTATATTAACCAAAAGATACTTACAGGATACTTAGTAGTGTTAATACTTAGTGTATTAATCTATTTTAAAAATGTTTCTAACATAGCAGGAGTGCAATTATATTTGTTAAAATTACCTTAAAAAAAAAAAAGAGGGACTTCCCTGGTGGTCCAGTGGCTAAGACTCCACGCTCCCAGTGCAGGGGGCCTGGGTTTGATCCCCGGTCAGGGAACTACATCCCACATGCCGCAACTAAGAGTTTGCATGCTGCAACTAAAGATCCTGCATGCCACAACTAAAAGATCCTGCACACAGGGGCCTTCCCTGGTGGCGCAGTGGTTAGAATCCGCCTGCCAATGCAGGGGACACGGGTTTGAGCCCTGGTCCAGGAAGATCCCACATGCCGCAGAGCAACTAAGCCCATGCGCCACAACTACTGAGCCTGCACCCTAGAGCCCACGAGCCACCACTACTGAAGCCCGTGTGCCTAGAGCCCGTGCTCTGCAACAAAGAGAAGCCACCACAATAAGAAGCCCGCACACCACAATGAAGAGAAGCCGCTGCTCACCGCAACTAGAGAAAGCCCGGGCACAGCAACAAAGACCCAGCACAGCCAAAATTAATTAATTTTTTTTTAATGTACTATTTAGAATATTACCAAACTATGTTCTAACAAGTAAAAATGTAAATGCCACTGCATCTAGACCTTGCCAACTCTTATATCCCTAAGATTAGAAGAAGCACCTACACATGCTCTAAATATGTCCCAGAAAGGTTAGAGTATAACTGATGCCAATACTCACCACTTTCAAAATATTTTCTGTTAGCTCTTTCTCCTGTTGCATCTGATTCATACTAAAAGAGAAATGATTGAAGAGTATCAAACATTACTTGAAAGACTGAAAATTCAAAACTTAAAGATAATTCTTGAAAGTGAGGTTGAATTTAAATAAAAATGTTTTTAATGCTACTTCTTTTCATGCTTAAAAAACAAACAAAAACTCAATGCTGATGCTCCTTTACCATTATTTTCTCATTTACTTTGTATTAAAAAAAAAAACCTCTCAATTTTTTTTTTTTTTACTTCTTCATTTATTCATTTCCTCAGTTTTTTGGTGTTTAAAAAGTAACAAAAGATAAACATCTGCATGGTTATACAGACATGCAAACAAACAAAAATATAACACAAATGCTAAGCATCAAAACATTACCCAGAAAATGATTTTCTAATAATGAGATATATATACTTTAATTTATTTTTATTTTTGGCTGCACTGGGTCTTCGTTGCTGCGTGTGGGCTTTTCATTGCAGTGGCTTCTCTTGTCGCGGAGCACAGGCTTCTAGGCCCACGGACTTCACTAGTTGTGGCTTGCAGGCTCTAGAGTGCAGCCTCAGTAGTTGCTCAGGCTCAGGTTCAGTAGTGGCGCACGGGTTTAGCTGCTCCACGACATGTGCGATCTTTCTGGACCAGAGCTCAAACCCATGTCCCCAGCACTGGCAGGCGGATTCTTAACCACTGCGCCACCAGGGTCCCTCCACTCATGATATTTTTAGATGACATTTGTAGGTAGCATTACAAAATAATGTTGCCTAGAAATAATGATTTCTTCCATTTATTCATTTACTTATCAGATATTTCTTAGGCATTTAAACTGTGCTAGGGAGACAGGGGAAAGATGGCAGAGGAGTAAGACCCAGAGATCACCTTCCTCCCCACAGATACACCAGAAATACATCTACACGTGGAACAACTCCTACAGAACACCTACTGAACGCTGGCAGAAGACCTCAGACCTCCCAAAAGGCAAGAAACTCCCCACATACCTGGGTAGGGCAAAAGAAAAAAGGAAAAACAGAGACAAAAGAATAGGGATGGGACCTGCACCAGTGGGAGGGAGCTGTGAAGGAGGAAAGGTTTCCACACACTAGGAAGCCCCTTCGCGGGCGGAGACTGCAGGTGGCGGAGGGGGAAGCTTCGAAGCCGCGGAGGAGAGCACAGCCACAGGGGTGCAGAGGGCAAAGCGGGGAGATTCCCGCACAGAGGATTGGTGCCGACCGGCACTCACCAGCCCGAGAGGCTTGTCTGCTCATCCGCCGGGGCAGGTGGGGCTGCTAGCTGAGGATGGGGCTTCGGTCGGAGCGCAAGGAGAGGACTGGGGTTGGCGGCGTGAACACAGCCTGCAGGGGGTTAGTGCACCACAGCTAGCCGGGAGGGAGTCGGGGGAAAAGTCTGGACCTGCCGAAGAGGCAAGAGACTTTTTCTTCCCTTTTTGTTTCCCGGTGCACGAGGAGAGGGGATTAAGAGCACTGCTTTAAGGAACTCCAGAGACGGGCGCAAGCCGCGGCTAACAGTCCAGACCCCAGAGACGGGCATGAGACGCTAAGGCTGCTGCTGCCACCACCAAGAAGCCTGTGTGCAAGCACAGGTCACTATCCACACCCTGCTTCCGGGGAGCCTGTGCAGCCCGCCACTGCCAGGTTCCCGGGATCCAGGGACAACTTCCCTGGGAGAACACACGGCACGCCTCAGGCTGGTGCAACGTCCCGCCGGCCTCTGCCACCACAGGCTCACCCCGCAACCGCACCCCTCCCTCCCCCCAGCCGGAGTGAGCCAGAGCCCCCGAGTCAGCGGCTCCTTTAACCCCGTCCTGTCTGAGCGAAGAACAGATGCCCTCCGGTGACCTACACACAGAGGCGGGGCCAAATCCAAAGCTGAGCCCCGGGAGATGTGTGAACAAAGAAGAGAAAGGGAAATCTCTCCCAGCAGCCTCAGGAGCAGCGGATTAAAGCTCCACAATCAACTTGATGTACCCTGCATCTGTGGAATACATGAATAGACAACGAATCATCCCAAATTGAGGAGGTGGACTTTGAGAGCAAGATTTATGATTTTTTCCCGTTTTCCTCTTTTTGTGAGTGTGTATGCGTATGCTTCCGTGTGAGATTTTGTCTGTATAGCTTTGCTTTCACCATTTGTCCTAGGGTTCTATCCGTCCTTTTTGTTTTTTATTTTTTTAATTTTTTTTCTTAATAATTATTTTAATTATTTTATCTTACTTCATTTTATCTTATTTTATTCTCTTTCTTTCTTTCTTCCTTTCTTTCTACTTTTTCTCCCTTTTATTCTGAGCCGTGTGGATGAAAGGCTCTTGGTGCTGCAGCCAGGAGTCAGTGCTGTGCCTCTGAGGTGGGAGAGCCAACTTCAGGACACTGGTCCACAAGAGACCTCCCAGCTCCACGTAATATCAAACGGCGAAAATCTCCCAGAGATCTCCATCTCAACACCAGAACCCAGCTTAACTCAAAAACCAGCAAGCTACAGTGCTGGACACCCTATGCCAAACAATTAGCAAAACAGGAACACAACCCCACCCATTAACAGAGAGGCTGCCTAAAATCATAAAAACTCCACAGACACCCCAAAACATACCACCAGAAAGACAAGATCCAGCCTCATCCACCAGAACACAGGCACTAGTCCCCTCCACCAGGAAGCCTACACAAGCCACTGAACCAACTTTAGCCACTGGGGAGAGACACCAAAAACAATGAGAACTAGGAACCTGCAGCCTGCAAAAAGGAGACCCCAAACACAGTAAGAGAAGCAAAATGAGAAGACAGAAAAACACACAGCAGATGAAGGAGCAAGATAAAAACCCACCAGACCTAAAAAATGAAGAGGAAATACACAGTCTACCTAAAAAAGAATTCAGAATAATGATAGTAAAGATGATCCAAAATCTTGGAAATAGAGAAAATGCAAGAAACATTTAACAAGAACCTAGAAGAACTAAAGATGAAACAAGCAACGATGAACAACACAATAAATGAAATTAAAAATACTCTAGATGGGATCAATAGCAGAATAACTGAGGCAGAAGAACGGATAAGTGACCTGGAAGTAAAATAGTGGAAATAACTACTGCAGAGCAGAATAAAGAAAAAAGAATGAAAAGAACTGAGGACGGTCTCAGAGACCTCTGGGACGACATTAAACGCACCAACATTCGAATTATAGGGGTTCCAGAAGAAGAGAAAAAGAAAGGGACTGAGAAAATATTTGAAGAGGTTATAGTTGAAAATTTCCCTAATGTGGGAAAGGAAATAGTTAATCAAGTCCAGGAAGAACAGAGAATCCCATACAGGATAAATCCAAGGAGAAACACGCCAAGACACATATTAATCAAACTGTCAAAAATTAAATAAAAAGAAAACATATTAAAAGCAGCAAGGGAAAAACAACAAATAACACACAAAGGAATCCCCATAAGGTTAACAGCTGATCTTTCAGCAGAAACTCTGCAAGCCAGGAGGGACTGGTAGGACACATTTAAAGTGATGAAGGAGAAAAGCCTACAACCAAGATTACTCTACCCAGCAAGGATCTCATTCAGATTTGATGGAAAAATTAAAACCTTTACAGACAAGCAAAAGCTGAGAGAGTTCAGCATCACCAAACCAGCTTTACAACAAATGTTAAAGGAACTTCTCTAGACAAGAAACACAAGAGAAGGAAAAGACCTACAATAACAAACCCAAAACAATTAAGAAAATGGGAATAGGAACATACATATCAATAATTACCTTAAATGTAAATGGATTAAATGCTCCCACCAAAAGACACAGACTGGCTGAATGGATACAAAAACAAGACCCATATATATGCTGTCTACAAGAGACCCACTTCAGACCTAGACACATACAGACCGAAAGTAAGGCGATGGAAAAAGATATTCCATGCAAATGGAAACCAAAAGAAAGCTGGAGTAGAAATTCTCATATCAGACAAAATAGACTTTAAAATAAAGATTGTTAGAAAAGACAAAGAGGGACACTACATAATGATCAAGGGATCAATCCAAGAAGAAGATATAACAATTGTAAATATTTATGCATTCAACATAGGAGCACCTCAATACATAAGGCAAATACTAACAGTCATAAAAGGGGAAATCGACAGTAACACATTCATTGTAGGGGACTTTAACACCCCACGTTCACCAATGGACAGAAAATGAAAATAAATAAGGAAACACAAGCTTTAAATGATACATTAAACAAGATGGACTTAATTTGTATTTATAGGACATTCCATCCAAAAACAACAGAATACACATTTTTCTCAGGTGCTCATGGAACATTCTCCAGGATAGATCACATTTTGGGTCACAAAGCAAGCCTTGGTAAATTTCAGAAAATTGAAATTGTATCAAGTATCTTTTCCGAACACAACGCTATGAGACTACATATCAGTTACAGGAAAAGATCTGTAAAAACTATAAACACGTGGAGGCTAAACAACACACTATTTAATAACAAAGTGATCACTGAAGAATCAAAGAGGAAATCAAAAAATACCTAGAAACAAATGACAATGGAGACATGACAACCCAAAACCTATGGGATGCAGCAAAAGCACTTCTAAGAGGGAAGTTTATAGCAATACAATCCCACCTTAAGAAACAGGAAACATCTTGAATAAACAACCTAACCTTGCACCTAAAGCAATTAGAGAAAGAAGAACAAAAAAAACCCAAAGTTAGCAGAAGGAAAGAAATCATAAAAATCAGATCAGAAATAAATGAAAAAGAAATGAAGGAAATGATAGCAAAGATCAATAAAACTAAAAGCTGGTTCTTTGAGAAGATAGAGAAAATTGATAAACCATTAGCCAGACTCATCAAGAATAAAAGGCAGAAGACTCAAATCAATAGAATTAGAAATGAAAAAGGAGAAGTAACAACTGACACTGCAGAAATACAAAAGATCATGAGAGATTACTACAAGCAACTCTATACCAATAAAATGGACAACCTGGAAGAAATGGACAAATTCTTAGAAATGCACAACCTGCCAAGACTGAATCAGGAAGAAATAGAAAATATGAACAGACCAATCACAAGCACTGAAATTGAAACTGTGATTAAAAATCTTCCAACAAACAAAAGCCCAGGACCAGATGGCTTCACAGGCGAATTCTATCAAACATTTAGAGAAGAGCTAACACCTATCCTTCTCAAACTCTTCGAGAACATAGCAGAGGGAGGAACACTCCCAAACTCATTCTACGAGGCCACCATCACCCTGATACCAAAACCAGACAAGGATGCCACAAAGAAAGAAAATTACAAGCCAATATCACTGATGAACATAGATGCAAAAATCCTCAACAAAATACTAGCAAACAGAATCCAACAGCACATTAAAAGGATCATACACCATGATCAAGTGGGGTTTATTCCGGGAATGCAAGGATTCTTCAATATACGCCAATCAATCAACGTGATACACCATATTAACAAATTGAAAGAGAAAAACCATATGATCATTTCAATAGATGCAGAGAAAGCTTTCAACAGAATTCAACATCCATTTATGATAAAAACCTACTTTACAAAGTAGGCATAGAGGGAACTTTCCTCAACATAATAAAGGCCATATATGACAAACCCACAGCCAACATTGTCCTCAATGGTGAAAAACTGAAAGCTTTTCCACTAAGATCAGTAACAAGACAAGGTTGCCCACTCTCACCACTCTTATTCAACACAGTTTTGGAAGATTTAGCCACAGCAATCAGAGAAGAAAAGGAAATAAAAGGAATACAAACTGGAAAAGAAGAAGTAAAACTGTCACTGTTTGCAGATGACATGACACTATACACAGAGAATCCTAAAGATGCTACCAGAAAACTACTAGAGCTAATCAATGAATTTGGTAAAGTAGCAGGATACAAAATTAATGCACAGAAATCTCTGGCACTCCTATACACTAATGATGAAAAATCTGAAAGTGAAATCAAGAAAACACTCCCATTTACCACTGCAACAAAAAGAATAAAATATCTAGGAATAAACCTACCTAAGGAGACAAAAGACCTGTATGCAGAAAATTATAATACACTGACGAAAGAAAGTAAAGATAGTACAAATAGATGGAGAGATATACCATGCTCTTGGATTGGAAGAATCAACATTGTGAAAATGACTATACTACCCAAAGCGATCTACAGATTCATGCAATCCCTACGAAACTACCACTGGCATTTTTCACAGAACTAGAACAAAAAATTTCACAATTTGTATGGAAACACAAAAGACTCCGAATAGCCAAAGCAATCTTGAGAACGAAAAACGGAGCTGAAGGAATCAGGCTCCCTGACTTCAGACTATACTACAAAGCTACAGTAATAAAGACAGTATGGTACTGGCACAAAAGCATAAAGACAGACCAATGGAACAGGATAGAAAGCCCAGAGATAAACCCACGCACATATGGTCACCTTATCTTTGATAAAGGAGGCAGGAATGTACAGTGGAGAAAGGAAAGCCTCTTCAATAAGTGCTGCTGGGAAAACTGGACAGCTACATGTAAAAGAATGAGATTAGAACACTCCCTAACAACATGCACAAAAATAAGCTCAAAATGGATTAAAGACCTAAACGGTAAGGCCAGAAACTATCAAACTCTTAGAGGAAAACATAGGCAGAACACTCTATGACATAAATCACAGCAAGATCCTTTTTGACCCACCTCCTAGAGAAATGGAAATAAAAACAAAAGTAAACAAATGGGACCTAATGAAACTTCAAAGCTTTTGCACAGCAACGGAAACCATAAAGAAGACCAAAAGACAACCCTCAGAATGGGAGAAAATATTTGCAAATGAAGCAACTGACAAAGGATTAATCTCCAAAATTTATAAGCAGCTCATGCAGCTCAATAACAAAAAAACAACCAACCAATCCAAAAATGGGCAGAAGACCTAAATAGACATTTCTCCAAAGAAGATATACAGACTGCCAACAAACACATGAAAGAATGCTCAACATCATTAATCATTAGAGAAATGCAAATCAAAACTACAATGAGATATCTCACACTGGTCAGAATGGCCATCATCAAAAAATCTAGAAACAATAAATGCTGGAGAGGGGGTGGAGAAAAGCAAACACTCTTGCACTGCTGGTAGGAATGTGAATTGGTACAGCCACTATGGAGAACAGTATGGAGCTTCCTTAAAAAACTACAAATAGAACTACCAAATGACCCAACAATCCCACTACTGGGCATATACCCTGAGAAAACCATAATTCAAAAAGAGTCATGTACCAAAATGTTCATTGCAGCTCTATTTACAATAGCCAGGAGATGGAAACAACCTAAGTGCCCATCATCGAAAGAATGGATAAAGAAGATGTGGCACATATATACAATGGAATATTACTCAGCCATAAAAAGAAACGAAATAGAGTTATTTGTAGTGAGGTGGATGGACCTAGAGTCTGTCATACAGAGTGAAGTAAGTCAGAGAGAGAAAGACAAATACCGTATGCTAACACATATATATGGAATCTAAGAAAAAAAAAAAATGGCCAACTTACACACTTAACTGAGGAGGTCCAGGTTTTGGTTGTTTGACAGGAAAACTACTTTGAACAATTGTCCTAATTGCCCTGTAAAAAAGACCAAAAAACCAAAAGTTAACACACTGTAAATATCACTTCAAGTTTTTTTTCAAGTGCTCCTTAGAAAACTTAAAAACTATCTGAAATTCTAATTGATATATAATAAAAACTTTGTAAGTCATCCACATCTTTATCAGAATTCTTTTTATCTATGCAGTCATAAATTTTCTCCACCAACAGATTCACTGTTTCCAAGATCCTCTTAGAGATCCCTAGAGTAGAAGGAGTAACTTAAAAGCATATCCCTGGAAGTCAGAGTGCAATTAAAGAGAGGCTGCCCAACACATTTCAGGTTTATGAAAACATTTACCATCTATTGTAGAGAAGTATAGCCATGGCAGTGGTTGGAGGTAAAGTGGCCAGATCCATGTCTATGTGCTTTGTTCCGGGAGGAACTTTACTGATGCACAGCAGTTCATTTAGTAACATATTCAATACTGGAACAGACAAACTTAAAAAGGAAGAATCAAAAGATATATAAGCTGTGTAACCACAAAATACACAATTCAGTATTTTCACTCAAAGTAATTATACTGTTAAAGGAGTAAATCTACAGACCATTTTATTAACCTGTTTCAACAACTTATATGAAAATATACCTATCAAATTCAAAAAGATTTTTTAAGCTTTCATTATGAAAACAATTTAAACATATACAAAAGTAGACAGAATAATATAATATAGCCCAATGTGCCCATCATCCAGCTTCAACAATTATCAACTGATGGCCAATCTTGTTTCATCTCCACTCCACCCACTTCCCTCCTTCCCATATTATTGTGAAGCAAATTCCCAATATTAAATCATTTTTTCCACAAGTATTTCAGAATATATCTCCAAAAAATTACCTCCTAACATAATGACAGTATAAATTTCACATCTAAAAAAATTTTAATTGCTTACCATCAAATAGCCAATCAATGCTCAATTTTCCAAGTGTAACACATACATCATGCTTTTTTGTACACACTGCTACCTGTTGATATGCCTCAAATCTATTAATGGATAAGTTTCCCCTTAGATTAAAGCATAAAACTTTTTTTTTAATTCTAATTTTAATGCTATAGAAGATATGGTGCAAAAACAATGTTTAAATACTACTAGTGTGAGTATAAACTAATACAACTCTCTTGGAATGCAATCTGGTAACATGCATAATGTGCTTTAAAAATGTTTATACCACTTGACCAAGCAATTTAACAATCTATACTAAGGCTGTAACTCGAAATTCAGATAAAGTTTATGGACATAGACATTTAAGGCTCTGTCATTAATAAAAGTGAAAAACTAGGGCTTCCCTGGTGGCACAATGGTTGAGAGTCCGCCTGCCGATGCAGGGGACACAGGTTCGTGCCCCGGTCCGGGAAGATCCCACATGCCGCGGAGCGGCTGGGCCCACGAGCCATGGCTGCTGAGCCTGTGCTCCGCAATGGGAGAGGCCTCAACAGTGAGAGGCCCGTGTACCGGTAAAAAAAAAAAAAAAAAAAAAAGTGAAAAACTAGAGAAAACTGTCAATGGAGGAACAGTTAATAAATTATCTATACAATGGAATAAACTCCAAAAAACAAAATGGGAAAATGTTCATGATATCCTGCTATATGAAATAAAACAAATCAAAACAGTATATAAGATATGTTCACAATTTTGTTTAAAAATAAATCACACAAAAATGTTAAAAATACTTCTCTCCCCTCCTCTATTATTTCTTATTTTCTGAATTTTCCCAAATGTTCTATAAGGTATTTCTTTTTCAATTGTGAGAAGGGGATGAAAACAAATCATTTTATAACTACGCCTTTGAAATTATTTATTTGTAAACAAATAACCACTGATTCTAATAAGACAGCTTAAGAGTTTGGGAGACAGTGATTGATTTATGCCCAGTAAAATAAACTGAATTATTCAATAAGGAATCATCCATACATTATGTACCATGCATCATTAATTTTTATTCATTTTCTTCAGATATGTAAAAGTAAACTGAACATTTAAAACTGTTTAGGCATGGACTTTCCTACTTAGCACATCAAAGAAAAGAACAATAATAAAATGGCTCATTATTGATAACACCAAGTTTATACTTTAAAAGGTTATTTAAATTCATCTAATAGTCGAATATTTTCTTACACCTTTTGAAAACTACTTGCATATTTTACCAAGAATGCAGAGAAAAATAATTTTCATTTTAAGGGCCAATATTATAAGAACACATATTGAAATAAACCAAGATATCTAACAGTACTAAAAATAAATTCATTTAAATCTTGTATACCTTTTCTCTAATATGTCTAAGTCCCACTTCAAATGTGCAGCAACTTTAAGAGCAAGAAGCTTTAAAATACGATTTCTCTTGTTATCAGGTGGAGGTTGAACTTGGTTCTGTTCATTAACTGAAGGTTTAGAAGCCTGTTCCAAAAACTGGACTATAAGTTGAACTGGTGCAGGATCTAGGATTTAAAAGAAAATAATTCTTGAACTTAAGTTCTAATTATGAAGATCCAAAGGATTCACTGTATTAGTTTTTGACCACAAAGGAATCCAAACAGGCCAACAGGCATGTGAAAAGATGCTCCATATCGCTATTAGAGAAATGCAAATCAAAACTACAATGAGGTATCACCGCACACCAGTCAGAATGGCCATCACCAAAATGTCTACAAATAATAAATGCTGGAGAGGGTGTGGAAAGAAGGGAACCCTCCTACATGATTGACAGGAATGTAAACTGGTGCAGCCGCTATGGAAAACAGTATGGAGGTTCCTTAAAAAATTAAAAATAAAGTTACTATATGATCCAGCAATCCCACTCCTGGGCATATATCTGGAAAAGACAAAAACTCTAATTTGAAAAGATACATGCACCCATAAGTTCACAGCAGCACTATTCACAATAGCCAAGACATGGAAATAACCCAAGTGTCCGCTGACAGATGAATGGATAAAGATGTGGTACATATATACATTGGAATATTACTCAGCCATAAAAAAGAATGAAATTATGCCACTGCAGCAACATGGATGGACCTAGAGATTATCATACTAAGAAAAGTACATCAGACAGAGAAAGACAAATGTCGTATGACATCATTTTATGTGGAATCTAAAAGTGATACAAATGAACTTATTTACAAAACAGAAATAGACTCACAAAGAAAACAAATTTATGGTTACCAAATGGGAAAGGGGGGGAGGGATAAATTAGGAATTTGGGATTGACAGATACATATAAAATAAACAAGGACCTACCGTATAGTACAGGGAACTATATTCAATATCTTATAATAACCTATAATGGAAAAGTATCTGAAAAGGAATATATATATATATATATATATATATATATATATATATCATAATCACTTTGCTGTACACCTGAAACATTGTACATCAACTATACTTCAATTAAAAAGAAAGTTTAAAAAAAATCCAAACAGTTGTGTAGGTAGAATAACTAAGGATTATGATTTATAAGAAGTGTGCCTGGGGATTAAAGGGAAAGATCAGGAAGGGTGTAAGGAAGAAAGGATAACAGATTCCTGCAGAAGAAAGCACTTTACAGGGAAGAACATAATGGTTATAGATTTCCAGTTCAGCAAACAACGAATGTCAATTAAAGGAAAGAGAGGTCATCTTTAGAATCACTGTTTTAACGCTTAATTAGTGGGGCCTGCATAAAGTTACCTCTGCACCTGTTTGTCATGCAAAATAGAGGATAATGCCACCTACTTCACAGGATTACTATGAAGACTGATTAAATGAGATAACAGATATGAAGCATTAAGCACAGTGACTGGCACGCAGAAAGACTCAACAAACGTTAGTCAAAATCAATTAATTAAAAGAACATAATATAATATAGGTGGTAAAACTGCCCAAGTGAAGTACACTAACTTCTCGCACAGCAGTCTCCACCAGGAGACTAAAGCCCGTCTATTAGACTGAACAAGCCACAACTGGATTCGAACTTTATCAGCAAAATATCATCCAAGGAACTTACTTTTTCATGCCAGTACCTCTTTCCAGAAATGCCTGGCGTTTTCCACCTTCCCTGAGAGTACTCATTAACTGGGATATTAATCATGATCATCATTATACAAGAACCATCTTGCAACTGTAGTTTTTTTCTGCTTTCAAAGATTTCTTCATTTTGATTTACAGCTTAACTTTGAAATATATAATTAAGAGTCGGTAAAGTCTCCTCGTTGAGGAATAAAACAGTTAAATAGGAACCTAAGATAGTTAACTAATTAGTGTCAGGATCAGCCCCCGAATCGTTGATTTCTCCCCATCTCCCCAAACTGTGCGGGGTTCTGTCAAGAGGAGGGTTCGAGCCAGCCTCCCCAACCCAAATACTCTCACAAGGCCATCTCGCAGGTGTTAAAACCCCGAACAGTAAAAGGGGGTGGATGCGGAAGCTCCTTTGTTTTGCGCCTTTCTTTGGCCTCCCACAGCAGTGCCCCCGCACTGGTGTGTTTAATACTTAGCCGGGGGCCTAGCCAGAGCTCGGCTCCGGTCCCCGCCTCCCGAGCCGCAGGTTCGTGGCCGAGAAGGCGCGGGATGGTGAGAGACGGGAGGGCAGCGCCGGTGACCGGGTCCCGCTCCGCTCGAGCTGCAGGCGCCGCGCTTACCCGGGCAGGGCTTGCGCAGATGTTTCTCCAACAGCGACTCCTCCAGCAGGAACTCAAACCAGCAGGTCTGCGGCGGGGTGCAGGGCCGGCTGGAGGTGGCCGCCTCCCGGTCCGCCGCCTCCGCGCTCATCCTGCCCCCGCCGCCGCTACCCCCTGGGACGTTTCCCGGCTCCAACCTGACACTCGGACGCGGGCCCTGGGCCTGTGATCTGCGGAACCCCCGAGACCTAGGACGCACTCGAAACGTCCCGGAAACCCACACAGTCCAAAATGGCTGCGCGGCCCAGCCAGAGCTGGGGATCCTGGATCCGCCTCCCGGCGCCACCGCCGTGCCTCCAAGCCAATCGTTATTTGAGTTGGAGAAAGAGGGCGGGACCTATCCTCAGACCACGCCTCCTCCCGGTTGCCTTGGGAGACGGCTTGCGGGTAAGCTGGGTCGCAGGTTGGTTTCCCCGGTTCCCTGGGAGTTTCTCAGCGAGCAAATGAAATAGCCTCATCAATAGGCCTCATTGTCTTCGTAAAAGGCAGTGAACGCTACAGGTTCAAACTGTAATCTAGGCAAAGTTTGTTTTCGGTGGTTTAAATTTTCCCACTTCATTTCTGAGATTTCCTACTACCTAGGTCCTCTCGGCGGATGTGCCCTCGTGTCTTGGGCGCCAGCGTCCCCGCCCCCTTTCCGAGACAGCTGACGGCCCACGTGAGATCTAGCTTTTCTGCTGCTTCTCAGGACTAGCTCTCAGTGTTTAGCGCCTAATTAACTCTCTTGATATCCCGGCTAGAGTTATTAAGCCCATTTTACATTTACCTTCATTCTATAATCTGGTGTTTTTTTTTTAACGAAGTTGAAAAAAGTGTATTCATAGATGGTGCACACGATCTATATTGAGTGCAAACTAACCTCTCTGAACCTTAGTTTTCATATTTGTAAATCAGGAATTATAATAGTGCCTATCTTAGGGTTGATAAGAGAATTAAAGGCAGAACTTGATAATACAGGTAAGCTTTTTAAACAAGGCCTGACATCTAGAAACATGGGCAAATGTTAGCAAATATCATATAGTGCTTTCTTCATATACATGATTCTAGTTTTCTCCTATAAACGACCCTGTTACACATGTTTTAACCAATGAAAACACTGAAGTTTCAGAGTTATCATTTGTCCAAGGTTTCCCAACAATCGAGGGGTGGGGCCAGAGCTTTAGTGATCTTTCCACTGTACTCAGGCTGCTTCCAACATTCGATAGAGAGGATAAGACTGATGGCTTATGGTCTTTTCCAGAATGAAATGGTAGAGCTTTGAACAGGTTTAGGAAAGATAAATGGAAGTAGCTCCTCCATACGTGAAAGTAAATCTGCTTCAGTGGCAACCATTGCCTTGTTCTCTTCCTGTGCAATCCTCTTTCTGGATTCTGCCATGCCTCTCTCCCGCTCTTTCATTCTGGTCCTTCCTGGGGTCCTGGCCTTAGTCCTCTTCTCACTGTAAAAACCATCCCTGCATCACTCCCCCCACTCCTGAAACTCTATCCTAGGCTCTAAAGAACACAGGTTGGAAATCATGTATTAGAGTAATAAAATCATGAGGACCTAAATTAATAAAATATCAATAGGAAGTCTCTTCAGCAAGTGGTGTTGGAAAAGTTGGCCAGCTGCATATAAATCAATGAAGTTTGAACACACCCTCACACCATACACAAAAGTAAACTCAAAATGGCATAAAGACTTAAATATAAGACAAGACGCCATAAAACTCCCAGAAGAGAACATAGGCAAGACATTCTCTGACAGATATCATACCAATATTTTCTTAGGTCAGTCTCCCAAGGCAATAGAAATAAAAGCAAAAATAAACAAATGGGACCTAATCAAACTTATAAGCTTTTGCACAGCAAAGGAAACCATAAACAAAATGAAAAGATAACCTACAGACTGAGAGAAAATATTTGCAAATGATGAGCCCAACAAAGGCTTAATTTCCAAAATACACAAATAGCTAATACAATTCAATAACAAAAAAACAAACAACCCAACTGAAAAATGGGCAGAAGACCTAAATAAACATTTCTCCAAAGAAGACATACAGATGGCCAATAGGCACATGAAAAGATGCTCGTCTTCGCTAATTATTAGAGAAGTGCAAATCAAAACTACAATAAGGTACCACCTCACACCAGTCAGAATGGTCATCATTAAAAAGTCTACAAATAATAAATGCTGGAGAGGGTGTAAAGAAAAGGAAACCCTCTTACAGTCTTGGTAGGAATGTAAATTGCTGCAGCCACTGTGGAAAACAGTATGGATGTTCCTCAAAAAGCTAACAATAGAGTTGAACTATGATCCAGCAATCCCACTCCTGGGCATATACCCAGATAAAACTATAATTTGAAAAGATGCATGCACCCCTGTGTTCATAGCAGCACTATTTACGATAGCCAAGACATGGAAACAACCTAAATGTCCATCAACAGAGGAATGGATAAGGAAGATGTGGTAGGGACTTCCCTGGTGGTGCACTGGTTAAGAATCCGCCTGCCAATACAGGGGACATGGGTTCAAGCCCTGGTCTGGGAAGATCCCACATGCCACGGAGCAACTAAGCCCATGTCCCACAACTACTGAGCCTGCGAACCACAACTACTGAGCCCATGCGCCACAACTATTCCAGCCCTACATATTTGTATACATACAAATATGTACACATGGACTGAAGTGGCATTGTCAAAGTATAGTCTGCCATCCCCAGAGGACCTCCCAGATCCTTTCAGAGAGTCTTTGAGGTCAGAGTTATTTTCACAATACTAAGATGCAATTTGCCTTTTTTGCTGTGTTAACATTTGCGCTGATGATTCAAAAGCAATGATGGGAAGAACTTGTAGCAACTCAGCATGCATCAAAGCAGTGACATTGTTTTTCACCAACATCACTTACTGGCAGTTTTAAAAAACAACAATTTCACTTATGTCCATGGTGACACAGTAATAAGTATTAATTTTATTAACTCTTGAACCTTGAATACGTCATATCTTTTTAATATTCTCTATATGAAATGAGAAGCACACATAAAGCACCTCTGCTGGATAGCAAAGTACAGTGGTTGTCTCAACTTGAGCTATTTGAGCTATGATCCGAGCTAGCAGCTTTTTCATGAAACACCACTTTTACTTGAAAGAACAAGGACAGACTAATTATGGTTATTCAGAGTTGGGTATTTGGCAGACAACTTCTCAAAAATGGACAAAGTGAGTCTGTCACTTCATGTAAAACAACTGACAGTATTTGTGGCTAATGATAAATTTTGAGTTTTCAAGTAAAAATTAGAATTCTGGACTATAAACTTGACAGCTTTCCAATGCTTACAGACTTTTCTAATGAAATAGGTGGTGATATAATTAGGGGTTTTTTTGATATTAGAATAAAATGTGTCAAATTTTGGGTGGTCATATAATTCAGAAAACCAATATTTTTATAATGGGTACAAGATCCATTCTTATTACAAGACAGAGCAATGGATTTTAATAGAACAGATTTCGAAAAGTCAACTGATACAATTGCAGATTCCAAATTGCAACTAACCTTTAAAAAACCACCACTGGGCTTCCCTGATGGCACAGTGGTTAAGAATCCACCTGCCAGTGCAGGGGACACGGGTTCGAGCCCTGGTCCAGGAAGATCCCACATACCGTGGAACAACTAAGCCCGTGCACCACAACAACTGAGCCTGCACTCTAGAGCCTGCGAGCCACAACTACTGAGCCTGCGTGCTGCACCTACTGAAGCCCACATGCCTAGAGCCCATGCTCCACAACAAGAGAACCACTGCAATGAGAAGCCCGCGCGCTGCAACGAAAAGTAGTCCCCACTCACCACAACTAAAGAAAACCTGCATGCAGCAACAAAGACCCAACACAGCCAACAAATAAATAAATTCATATATATATATATATATATATATATATATATATATATATATATATAAACACCACTTTCTCGAGTTTTGGTATAGTATCAAAGAAGAAAATCCACAATTATCTGAAAAGGCCCATAAAATTCTCCTTTTTCAACTACATAGCTATACGATCATCTCAATAGATGCACAAAAAGCTTTTACAAAATTCAACACCCATTTATGATAAAAACTCTCCAGAAAGTGGTCATAGAGGGAAGCTTCCTCAACATAATAAAGGCCATATATGACAAATCCACAGCAAACATCATTCTTAATGGTGAAAAACTGAAAGCATTTCCTCAAGATCAGGAATAAGACAAGGATGTCCACTCTCACCACTCTTACTCAACATAGTATTGGAAGTCCTAGCCATGGCAATCAGAGAAGAAAAAGAAATAAAAGAAACACAAATTGGAAAAGAAGAAGTAAAACTGTCACTGTTTGCAGATGACATGATGCTATACACAGAAAATCCGAAAGATGCCACCAGAAAACTACTAGAACTAATCAATGAATTTGGTAAAGTTGCAGGATAGGAAATTAATGCACAGAAATCTCTTGAATTCCTATACACTAACAATGAAATATCAGGAAGAGAAATTAAGGAAACAGTCCCATTTACCATCACAAAAAAAAGAATAAAATACCTAGGAATAAACCTACCTAAGGAGACAAAAGACCTGTACTCAGAAAACTATGAAACACTGATGAAAGAAATCAAAGATGACATAAACAGATGGAGAGTTATACCATGCTCCTTTGGAAGAATCAATATTGTGAAAATGACTATACTACCCAAAGCAATCTACAGGTTCAATGCAACCCCTATCAAATTACCAGTGGCATTTTTCACATAATTAGAACAAAAAATTATACAATTTGTATGGAAACACAAAAGACCCTGAAAAGCCAAAGCAATCTTGAGAAAGAAAAACTGAGCTGGAGGAATCAGGCTCCCTGACTCCAGACTATACTACAAAGCTACAGTAATCCAGACACTATGGTACTGGCACAAAAACAGAAATATAGATCAATGATACAGGATAGAAAGCCCAGAGATAAACCCACACACCTATGGTCACCTAATCTATGACAAAGAAGGCAAGAATACAGTGGAGACAAGACAGCCTCTTCAATAAATGGTGCTGGGAAAACTGGACAGCTACATGTAAAAGAATGAAAGTAGAACACTACCTAACACCATACACAAAAATAAACTCAAAATGGATTAAAGACGTAAATGTAAGACTGGACACTATAAAACTCTTAGAGGAAAACATAGGAAAAACACTCTGACATAAATCAAAGCAAGATCTTTTATGACCCAC